AGGTTGTAAAAAAATGCTTTCAAAAGGCTCTGACGATCCCAGCTGAGTTGCCTGATCGTCAGAGGTTTTTTAAAAACCCTCTGCCGATCAAGCAACTCAGCTGGGATCGTCAGAACTTGGATCGTCAGAGGCATTTAAAAGAAAAAAACTTTTTTTCTTTTAAATGGCTCTGACGATCCCAGCTGAGTTGCCTGATTGCTGATCAGGCAACTCAGCTGGGATCATCAGAGCCATTTAAAAGAAAAAAAGCCTCTGATGATCGCATGGCTCAGCTGGGCATGGTGGGGGGCAGGGATTTTTGCTACCGGTTCTCCGAACCACCCGCCTCCATCGCTACCGGATCGGGCGATCCGGTCCGAACCGGGAGCATTTCACCCCTGCATTAGTCTTTTCTCCTTGTAGGAGATTTCTTACTCCGTTCCCCCCACCCTAAGGTTTGCTTTTCTTCCCCCAGGTAAATGGGTCACAGCCTTCCATCGTTTTTATTTTCTAACAACACATATGTGATCATCTGGATTGTAGAGGAATTCTTAGAAATAAAGATAATGCTTATTGGGGCCCCTAGGTTTAGTAGGAAGATCCAGTACACATAAGGATATTGGGTTGGGACCAGCATACACAGTGCCAATCTTATCTTAGTCAGAACAGAGCATGAAGATAGATTAAGGTGGGGATGGGGAAATTGTAGCCCTTTGATGTTCAGTTAACATGGCCAGAAAACATTAGGAATCATAGCACAGAAGCATCTGGTTGGTTATTTACATCTCATTTAAAAGACTAAGCAATTCATGTCCTGATCTCTCAGTCGTGATTTCTCCACACGTACTTACAATCATATATGATTTGATTGAGATCCCAATTTTATGGTTTAGATCAGGGGCTCCCAACCCTTGATCTGTAGCCCGGTGCTGGGTCGCAGGCCGTTCAGAACCAGGCCATGGAAGTGGTACGCATGCGAAACTATTCCCCCCCTCCCCCCCCACCCCGTGTGCCATCTCTGCTGGTCCACCAAGCTGGAAAGATTGGAGACCACTGGTTTAGAGAACAGTTCTTTCACTTCAGGCTTAAACAAAGGCTGATCCATTCCATTCAGCAACTAGGTGGGAAGCTTAAAGATTTCATACCATGCTACTTTATGCATGTGACTCTTTCCCTTTCCTTACCAATTGATTCTTTATATATATTAAAGTCTAGTATTATTATCGACAACAATATATCTGCTACTTTTGCATGCAGAACAAATAGAAGTGACCTGAAATGTGAAAACGGCAAGAACTATTAAAAACAGAACCCACCAAAATACTATATGTAGTTGTTTTAAAAATGCATTGCTTTTTTACTATCTGCTCTTCAAGTATCACACTTAGATTTTCTATCATGCTGGGAAGCACAAGATTTGAAATTTGCTCCATCCATTGACCTGGACTTTCCCATAAGGAATTTACTTTTGTGTTATCTTTTACTGTTCATTCTTTGTCCCAGATCAATATATAGTCAAAACAAAGCTTCTATTCATTGCTTTGGATTTGTGAGTATTTGTTTTTGTGTGTGACTAAATGCTATCAGCAAAGAAACTTTCCAGGTTCACAAAGTTCATGCTTACTGAAATTTGGTAAAGATTTCATATGTTAACTATTTCTTCCCGAATTTTTTTCTTAATTATTTCCTTCAGTTTCTTTTGCATGCATTATCTACAATGCAATGCTTCTCTTCTCAGCCTTGAGATGTCTTATGGAACTGAAATAGACAAAACATTCACAGATGTAGACCAATATTCTTTGCTGAAGCTGCTAATTCTTATGGATTTGCATTGACGTTTTGTACATTTCCTGTATTTAAGACATGTAGAAGTAAATGTTATTCATATATATTTGAATAATATAAATGTAGTTTATTTATATTTGATAAATACAGCATAGAGTATACAATTTTGATACACCTTATGCTCAGTTTTAAGTTATGAGCAAAGCGTGGTACTTTAGTATTGACTAAAAGCAAGGGAAAAAACAAAAAAAATTAAATACTAACACTGAGTTTATTGGCTAGCTTTTTGAAGTTTAATGAAAAACTACATTTTCTCAAGGTTCAATGTCTCTGTGATGGCTCAGCAGCTAAAGAGAGCTGGAGAGCTGACAGCCCAGGTTCGAGACCCGCACAATGGGGTGAGCTCCCGTTATTTGCCCCAGCTCCTGCCCACCTAATAGTTCAAAAGCATGCAAATGCGAATAGAATAGAAAATGGAATGGAACGGAACGGAACAGAACAGAATAACAGAGCTGAAACTTGGACGGGACCTCGGAGGTCCAATCCCGTTTAGGCAGGAAACCCTATACTATTTCAGACAAATGGTTGTCCAATCTCTTCTTAAAAACGTGCAATGTTGGAGCATTTACAATTTCTGCAGGCAAGTTGTTCCACTGATTAATTGTTCTAACTGTCAGGAAATTTCTCCTTATTTCTAGGTTTCTTCTTTCCTTGATTAATTTCCACCCATTGCTTCTTGTCCTGCCCTCAGGTGCTTTGGAGAATAGAATATCTAATAGAGTAGATTAATAGATACTATTTCAATGGGAAGGTAACAGAGTTCTGTGTGCCTTTGGTGTATAGCCATGCTGGCCACATGACATGACCATGAAAGGGGTTCCTCAGCTAAGAAATGGAGATGAGCACCATGCCCTAGAGTTGCACATAAGTGACAGGGAAACCTTTACCTTTTTACCAATGTCCTCAATTATCTCTTATTGGAATCTTCCCCACTTATTCAAGATTTTCAGGGCTTTGAAAACAGAGGCCTCTCATCTGTCTTGGTTCTAAAAGATCAGTGTGACAAAAATTTGTAAAACAAGATGTTTGATCATTGAAACGCATATTTCAAATTTATAGAATTGCATATAAACAATGAGTCCGAGTAATTATGAACTGAGTTACAAATATTCACAATAAAATGCATACATAATTTTCGTTTGATCTTTGTGAGAAGAGTGATATGGAAATGTGTTAAGTAGCTAAGCTTACACAATCGCAATGTTTTATATAACATTGTTATTCCTTTTGATGTAATGTCTTTTTATTTATTTATTTTAATCTCACGAAAACAATTCAAATCATTTTGGAGTTGGACAGCCCAGAAAACTGATAAACAGACTTTATACTTGAAATCAATGAATAATATAAATTTCAGGTAGTGCAGAAAGCGAAAGGTAAATGTGTTTTAGTTCCTTTATTTGATCAAGAAATATGAGTTAGACTTACTGGAGCTGAAGTGACCACCATGTTTCATCTATTGCTTTGATCGATGTGTTTATGACACAGGAAATTACATATAAAGTAATTAAAGAATGTCAATAATATTATGATTAAATGAGAGGCCAGGCACTAAAATGACTGGTCTGGTAAGTCTATGTCTGGCACAGGCTTTATGTCATTGACAGAAAGTCACATATCAGAGCCAAAGATGATCTTATTCAGGAGTCCTGGGGCAACTGTCATCCCAAGCTGCTGTTATGGGGGGATTGTAACTAAGGAGTTTCCCAGGTCCCTGAGTTGTGGGATTCTTTTTACCCTAAAACCGTAATTTTCCCTTGCACAAACCAATTCATCATCATATTAACAGGTTAACAGAGTTGGACTGGACCTTGCAGGTCATCTAGTCCAACCCGCTGCCCAACCAGGAGACCCTACTAGTTCCTTGCTTCCAATGCTTCCCATCTGTTGACTTTCATGATGGTTTAAAAATGCCCATATAGATGCCAGAAAACAGAAGAATACTGAAAATAAACTCTCATACGATAGTCATCTTTTTTGCAGTTGACAAAACATCAACCTACTGAGCAGATGTCTGTCTGCATGTTTATATTCAATGACTCTGTCGCAGCTTGTGGTTTCAAAAATATGTTCCTGCTGTTACCCTTCAGCGTCTGAGAGTGTTTTATCTCCAAATGGAACAAACTGGACTTAACAGCCTTAGGTAAGCATAACTATGAGTGGGAGGAAGGGAAAAGGAATGATAGTCCTAGGTCTTTGTTTCTGGATGAGAGCCAGACCATCTGCTTAATCCAGGATCATATTAGCCAACAACTTCCTTTTTACCCAGTAGTTGCTAGTAACGTGCCCTAACAGGAATGAGGTCTGGGAGAAGTATTATCTTCTTTCTTCATGGCACAGTTTCATGAAAAATTGCCATTTTTCAGGGTACAGTTGGGGGAGGGGGGAAGCAGGAGATTTATTTGCAATAGGTATATGAAGAGAACAAAAAGCTAAACCTCCCCCACCCCACACACACATACCTGGCATTACAACCCCCCATCCTGGATTTCTCTCAGTTGCAAATGTTTTTTTTTCTCCATTTTTTTTAGGAAAGCCTGGGGTTTTTTTCCCCTAATTTATTTTATTTATTTTTTTTAATTTTATTTCCAATTTATATACTGCCCTTCTCCCTGAGGACTCAGGGCGGTGTACAGCAAGAATTAAGAACATGAAATACAAATATTAAAAAACAATTAATATATATATAAATTTGGCCCAAAAATTAAAAATCACAAACCAATTAAAACATTTAAAAATTTCTTCTTAAGCCAATATTTTGGCCTAGTTCCTTCTATGCACATGAGCAGTAATAGCATTAAGATTCCTGCCCATCCTTGGGAGGCAGGAGCAGACAGCAAAACCAGAGATTTCCAGGTCCAAGTATATGCATGCTTTGTCTGGATTTTAAACATTAAAAAGATATCCTGGATTTTCTTGTTTTGGGGTGGGGGGAAACAGGCAGAAACTCTGTTTATCCCCCAAAAGACAAACTCTTCTGATAAATGGGAAGGAAGGGCTGGAAACCACAGAACCTTGTAGGGATTTTATAGCAGTAGCCCAGATCCGAGGCTGGCAAAAAACCCCATTGCTGGAGAGAGTCTCAAGATCAATTTACACTCCTTGTTTGGGGGAAAAAGGGAGGTGGCTAAGGAGAGAAGACAGTCTGAAATTAGTCAGAAGGGCTGCTCATCCTGCCTCCCACATACTGAAACGCCTCTTACAGAGAAAGTGCTTTCCTGGAAGAGAGAGGTGCAAAATAATTTCACAGGAAGATCATCAACGTGCTTTGAACCGGAAGCTCTGCTGTTGATCTTTGCCAGGCGAACTCCTTGGGATCCCAAGGTTTTCTGCACAGCATAAAGGAGCAACTTCAGAGCAGTGTGTTCAGATTCCCCACTCCCTCTTCACTGCCAGCTTGTCGATTGAAAAGTCTGGTAATAAGATCAGATTATATTCCTCTCCTTGTCTTTTCTCTCCCCGTCCCCTCCACCCCACCCCAGGCCCTGCCTTCTGGAAGAAACAAATACCGAAAGTCTTCCTGGAATCTTGTGATAACTTTTGGGACGTTTTTCAGCTCTGCAAGCAATTTGGTGGTAAGACAATAGCAATGTTCTTTTCATGTTATTTCCCTGGCTGGGTATGCATTGTTGCCAGATGAGTGTCAGATGTCAGATTTATTGATGTTGTCGAAGTCTACTTTTGTGTACTGGGAACAAAATTAAAACGGCAGTGTAATTTAGCTGGAAGGATACCTGAGCAATGACAGTGAGTATTGCCTTCACAGACCCAAACTTTTAAAGCAACTACATGCAAACAGTTGGCAATGTAAACAGGCATATTTTCTATAGAGAGCATGGGGGAAAATAAATGTTTTCATCATTTTCCTTCGACTTGTTAACAACTAAAATACTGTGTTTTCCACCATGTAATACCTTCTCTCTCAAACTGTCAAGTACATTTCATTGAACTCTATGATAATTATACCTAAGAGAATTGCAACATAAAACCTACTTGGAGGTTTGGAGTATTTATTTTCTTGGCTCTGCACATCCACAATTGTCTGCAACATCATTTACAACAGATTTCCTTGGGATTCCCTCTTGTGTATGTGAATGCAGAATTCCATCCCAAGTTAAAGATATTATATTATGAACAACTTATGTACTGAAGAAGCTGTTTCAAAGCAATCTACAAAGGAAAGCTATTTATTCACATACATATATGCGTGAAAGGGAACCAAGGAAGAATGCAACAGTTAATCAGCCACTATTTTCATGAAACAAGTTTTAGTACAATTGGTGGTAAGTTTTGTCTATGCCATTTGTAGAAAAGAAAGCTGGTGATAAATAAAAATTTCTCTATTAAACTGGAGGGGAAAGAGTAGGTTTTATGTTGCAATTCTCTTAGGTATAATTATCATAGAGTTCAATGAAATGTACTTGACAGTTTGAGAGAGAAAGTATTACATGGTGGAAAACACAGTATTTTAGTTGTTAACAAGTCGAAGGAAAAGGGAAGAGATGATGTCTATACTGAAAGATGATTTATCAGGCACATATTAGGAAGTTGGTCTTGACTGATAAAACTCAAAAGGGCTTAGGTTTCTATGAAGCCATCTCTTCCATTTCACACCTGTCCAGTTGATATGATTGGCAGAAGAAGCTCTGTTGCTTCTGAGGTTAGAGACTTGTTCTTTTAGCATGCAAGAGAAGATCTTGTCCTGATTGCTCCTAGATACAGAAGACCCTACTACTCCCTTGGGAGCTGTGTTTGCCTTTCTTAGTATTTGGAGTCCTGTATAGGTATATCTTTTTGCTAAGCTTGGAATTGTTAGATCATTTTATTCCTTGCTGTTATAATTGCTACTAATGTTTAACTTTAATCTATAATCTTAACTGTTTTTATATATTACTTTTGTCTTAAATTGGGTTTGATGCCTTGAATGCTTCAGACCCAGAAGAGAAAGTAATTATAGAACTCTAATAAATAAAAGTAAACATGTCTTCCCACTAGCCAAAAGGTTGCTATCTCATTTAATCCGCCATTGATTTTGAATCCCTTCAGATTAATAGCCTTGAATTTACTTATTAGAAATATAGAGTTGCTTTTCTGCCTAGCATCCTCCTCCTCTCATTATCTTCCTCCTCCCTCCTATTATTATCTCTGGGAAGAATCAAAAGTCAGTTTGGCATTGTGGTGAAGGTACTGGTCCAGAAACCAGGACACTAGTACTGAGTACAGTACTAGTTCCACTTTAGGCATGAAAGCCAGCTGGGTGATTTTGGGCCAGTCCTTCTCTCTCATCCCAACCCACCTGACCGGATTGCTGTTGTGAGCAAAATAGGAGGATGGAGTATTATTAATATTAACTCCCACCTTGAGTTATTTGTAAGAATGATAAAGGCAAGATAAAAACAAAACATACTGTAAATAACTAAAAGAAATAAAACTAGGACAGCTTGGGGATGTGCCTAGGAAGGAAAAAAGCTGATGCAGGTATTTAAATCATGTAAATCATTTGCATAATGATATTACACACATACATGGATGCCCATTAAGTTACTCCTAAATTTTAACATGTATGACATATGAAAGTTGCTTTTGCAAACAACCTTGACATAGCATGCAATAAATATCCTTTGGGTAACAAATTTCCTTTATTTGATTAAAAAAAAGGATTTCCTTTGGTTCAAAGAGTTATTCTCAGTAGTTGTTTATTTTTTTTTAAAGGAAGGCCTAAGAAATGCGAATCTTTGAAGCTCTAAAGATGTCACGCACATAGGCAACATGAGCTATGCAATTTCCTGTGACATTTCTACACAAAATAGAAAGTATATAGAATTATAATATGATTCATTCAAATCTAAAGCTAATTCCCACTCTGGGTTTTCTCTAACTCATTCTAGAGTTTGATTTAAAATTGCCAGCAGAGCTCTCTTTTATAATTGTCTATGGTATCCTGTCAAAACCTCTCTTAGAATCAACATCTGCACACAATTTTCCTAACTTCTTTAGAAAGATCATATTCATTTAAAACTTTATCTCTCTAGAGAAATGAAACACCTGCACAAATACTGCTTTCCAGAATTCAAATATTTGTCCTGCACTGAAATAAAAACTCCCTAAAGAATGCTGCTGATTTTAAAGTCAGTCTAATATTTAACCAGTATTAAGGCAAGATGCATTACTAGCCAAATCACATTTTAAATCAAAGACTGTTTTATTTTCTGCAGACTAGGATAATTCCTACTGGAAAATGTAGTGATATGTTATCTATGTGATTGGGTCACCACTGATAAGCCTTATTGTTTCACAAAATAAAGATAGTTTCATATTACTAATTAGTTACTTTTTCATGTGCCATTATACATTATCCTGTGTCATAATACGGTGCTTAGCTATGGAGACATTGAGTATCGTAGAAATTTATATGAACTATAGTTTTTGGTTTAACGATAGACCTATCAATATAACATTGATATAGATACGGATGTAGATATAGATACAGATATAGATACAGATACAGATATAGATGTAGATGTAGATGTAGATATAGAAAGGCCTATAGCTTGGCTTAATGATAGACCTCTGTCCGGGGTGATTGCTGTCATATGGGTACATTATTACTTGTCATATTTGACTGAGACAGTCCTGATTAAAATAGAAAGAAGTTTCAGGTTTAGGTTCTTCAGTGAGCTAAACCGGAAGTGTTTGTTTTTAAAACTCTGAATCTGTGTGAACCTCTCAAAGAGATCAACCAGACCTTTTTACTTGAAAGTCAGTAATACCGTTGAATTTAAGGATACTTTTTTTAATAGACATGGCTGGTAGTGTGTGAAGTGAATTCCTGATAGCTTGTGCTTCTGTGCTCCTGCCTTCGTATATATAGGTTTGGGGTATACTGAGTTAAGTATATCTTCTAGTTCAATATTACTCTTTTTGGTTGCCAGCAATTTTATAACATTTTATGCAAGAGCTTTCCCATCCCTACCTGGATATGAAAATTAAAGCTTGAGTCTTCTGCAGCAAAGCGTCAAATTCTGCCATTCAACTTCCACTGAGTTCATTAGACATTTTGCTTGCATGTGGGCAAGCATCAAGGCATGAGCAAAAGTTTCACACACAAACAGACATAAATTGTGTTTAAATGCTAGTCAAAGATTGTGTCAAATGCACATGGGAATAGTGGGGAACAATCCCAATTTATATTCCGAGTTTGCATTCAGTTAGGTTATGTATAGGGTCATCATAAGACTTATCTCTTGTGACTAATGAACACAACTATATTAAAAGACAGGGGACTTTTGCTAAACCACAGAAACATTTTTTCTAATAATAAAAGATTACCACTAAAGTTATGACATCTTTTCTTCTTTGACAGCTATCTTTGCAGACCTTTAAAAATCTTTCATTTAAATTGTATTCTTAATAACTTCAGACTTTTATCTCTTTTCGGTTTTTCATTCTATCCTTCCTGTTGTTCCACAGCCACAAAAGTGACTCATTCAAAGTGACAGCCCAGGAAATTGAACAGAAAAACATAAGGCTTTTGAAGCTCAAAATCAACCTAGAAACTTCTTTTTTTTTTTATTCTATCCATCAGGAACACGCATAGTTAAAATAACTAGGGATGTACATATGCAAACAAGTAAACAAAAATATTTTAAGGATCTGGGCAAAGCTGAAGAAAAGATTGCTACAGGTTTGAAAAAGCAAAATAACAAAGAATTATTTATTGTCTGTTCATGCATTCCTATATTGAATGTATCTGTAAATGTATCTATGAACTGTTGTAAATTGAGGACTACCTGTATTAATTCCTCCAGAATTTAGCACACTGTTCCAAAAGAGTGTTGTAAAGGGGAGCCAGGCATGTAGAATCCGATAAACCAGAACTATATTAACATTTGGGTGGTCTAGTTATTTATCTGTGCTTTCAGTTTTAAAAAAAATGGCAAAACTTCTGTTGTTTTATTATTCAAACTCAAACAACATTGATCCCTAGCAATTTTATTTTCTAAAGAGAACATGGATACAAATATGCTGAAATTCTACCATAAAAGATTTGGAAGATTGCTGCACAAATGCAGAAGGTGTTCAGGATTAAGATCTAAAACTGTGGCCTGCTTATTAAATATTTCTAAAGAGAGCAAGCATGTGGATAATGATTTTCCCAATTTGTTTTTAAATTAGAATAGAATAGAATAGACTAGAATAGAATAGAATAGAATAGAATAGAATAGAATAGAATAGAATAGAATAGAATAACAGAGTTGGAAGGGACCTTGGAGGTCTTCTAGTCCAACCCCCTGCCCAGGCAGGAAACCCTACACCACTTCAGACAAATGGTTATCCAACATCTTCTTAAACATTTCCAGTGTTGGAGCATTCACAACTTCTGTAGGCAAGTTGTTCCACTTATTAATTGTTCTAACTGTCAGGAAATTTCTCCTTAATTCTAAATTGCTTCTCTCCTTGATTAGTTTCCACCCATTGCTTCTTGTTCTACCCTCAGGTGCTTTGAAGAATAGTTTGACTCCCTCTTCTTTGTGGAAACCCCTGAGATATTGGAACACTGCTATCATGTCTCTCCTAGTACTTCTTTTCATTAAACTAGACATACCCAGTTCCTGCAACCGTTCTTCATATGTTTTAGCCTCCAGTCCCCTAATCATCTTTGTTGTTCTTCTCTGCACTCTTTCTAGAGTCTCAACATCTTTTTTACATTGTGGCGACCAAAACTGAATGCAATATTCCAAGTGTGACCTTACCAAGGCATTATAAAGTGGTATTAACACTTCATGTGATCTTGATTCTATCTCTCTGTTTCTGCAGCCCACAACTGTGTTGGCTTTTTTGGCAGCTGCTGCACACTACTGGCTCATATCTAAATGGTTGTCTACTAGGACTTCAAGATCCTTCTCACAGTTACTACTATTGAGCAAGGTAGCACATATACTGTACCTTTGCATAGATCAAGGCACAGTTCACAATACAGTTTGATTTGGTATTCTTTATCTTGATTCTTTCCTTTGAAAATATTGGCAGTATGGTGATGATTTGTAAAAGCAAAGAACCAAAAAGCTACTTTGGATAGAGCTTGGTTTCATGTGAGCAAAGTCAGGGTCCTAATCTCCCATCTGACTCTTCCTCTCAATGCATTTTTCCCTCTCCTTATCTTATAGCAAGTCTTTATGCTGAAACTGCATAAATCATCTGCAAATAAGATTTGTGATCCAAAATAAAGCCAACAACCGTCTGTTAAGATTCTCAGTCATCCAGATCATGGTTTTTGTCTCATAGGCGCTTTTTCCAAAGGGGCCAGGAAAGGATATTATTTCTCATATCCTTTCTGGGTTCTGAAAGATTGTAAGAGCCGCAGAGCACATTAACCTTAATTCAGTTGGAGATCTGAATACACAAGTCCTGTGTGCCTTCAGTTTTCCCTTTGTCAGTTTTTCAGCATTACCAGGTTGTATGCTTCATGTACCTAGTTATTTTCGAGACCGCCTGCTGCTACCGACGACCTCCCACCGACCTGTGCGCTCCCACAGAGAGGGCCTCCTCGGGGTGCCATCAGCCAAACAATGTAGGCTGGTGACCCCCAGGGGGAGGGCCTTCTCTGTGGGGGCACCTACCCTCTGGAATCAGCTGCCCCCTGAGATAAGGAGGATCCAAGACCTCGGTGCCTTCCGCTGTGCCCTTAAAACTTCCTTTTTTCAGCAAGCCAGGCTGGCTTAACATATTTCTTTTAATATTTTTTAATTCTTAATTGGTTTGTTATCTTAAATTGGGGCCAAATTAATATATATCCTTTTAATAGTTTTTAATGTTTGTATTGTATGTTTTTATCTGGCTGTATACCGCCCTGAGTCCCTCGGGAGAACGTGCGGTATATAAATTGGAGATAAAATAAATAAAATAAAATAAATGTGAAGACAGAAAACTAAAACTAAAACTGGCTTCCGCTTTTGTTTTTATAAAGCACAAATTTGAAAAAGACATATGTTTTAAAATTACTCAGTGAAGGAATGTTGGCCCAAGTTTTATTTTTAACAATGGATTAATAAAACAAGGAAGAACGGAACTACAAAGAGTAATTAATCTTTGGAAGCTTCAGTCCCTGCTTCTGCATCTCCCAGATGGTGCAATAAATAGGTCAAGTATCTGAGATTGGGAAACAGATGGAAGACTTAAAACAAAACGTAGGTACTAGGTATACTGAAACAGGTAATTATAAATACTAATATTCAGGAATGTCCGTCCTCCCCCACATTTCCTTTTGCTCCATTTCCCATAATAAGATTGCATTTAAAAGTGTTTGATTTATTACTCAGCTTTTACAGTCATTTATTTTTTTTAAAGAAAGAACCTTTCGATGAAACCTAGTTTCAGGTTGAATCTACTACTGCATTAATATTGCATAAGCACTTTACATTCTTTGCTGCTTACTAATGTCATATCATTATATACTACTGTCTTCTATGAGACAGGCTGATGATGATCTCTACAGTCCTTGTTTCCTAATCCTGAATCTCAAAGGGAATTTCTTGCAATACAGATTGAAGCCGGGATTTAATAGCAAACTACTGTTAAATAATAAGATATACCATTAATAATTGGCTTGAATTATTTCCAAATTTAAGTGCTTAGGAATGTTTGTTAAGAATATTTCTTGTGGAAATTTGCCCTGACTCACTTGAAACCACGTAACAGATTTCTGTGAAATGGGAAAGGATTTTACATTACACTAGTTCAGTCTGGCTTGTGCGGTCTAGATATTTGATCAAAACATTAATTTTGTGACTAGACTAGATTTTCAGGAACCAATGAGCAGATTTAAGATAATAAAACTTTTGAAGGAAAAAAAAAGAAACAAAATAGCAATATTTTCATAAAAGTCAATATTATAATTTCACTGGGGGCAATCCTGCCATTGATGGTGATTTACCTTCCTCTTCTGGAGCTATTCCTCCCTGTGCCCCTGTGTTCTCCAACGCATGGAACAGATTTTGAAGGCATACTTTCAAGAAGAAAGGACCAAAAAAAAAGTAGCTTTTGGTGTAATTTCACTCTAGGCTTTGTCAAAAACAATTTCATCTACACATTAACAGTCTACAGATTTGCAGATAGTGCATTTCAAATAACCTTTCAAAATCTCCATGTTTTGCCACCAAACAATGAAGAGTTCTGCAAATAATAGAGAAAACCCATTCAACATGATAATTTGATCAAAGCTGGGCAAAAATAAGTGTTATTGAACATACAAAAGTTGCATTTAGTGAGATGGGCAGTTATATAAATGTGATTAATAAATGTATAATTTGTGTTATTATGGGTAATATGTTATTGAACATAATAACATACTAGTATTGAAGTTCCAAAGACATAAAAATCTTAGTATTCTGCAAATTCTAGCAAATTTGCAAAAATATCCAAATTTTAAAAAAGGATACTCTCAGTCTCAATCTAATAACCAATATCATTGGATTCCTTGAAAAAAAAAAATGTTCTGTTTCTCTCCTTCCAAATTGGACTTTTTTTTATTTTAGAAAATGTATTCATAGAGCATATCAGTATCTCAGAAATGTTTATGTTAATTCTAAACTTTTTTCATTATTAAATAGATAGTTTTGTTTTGTTTTTTGTTTAAGCATACAGGAGACAGACAGATAGTCTCTCCATTATTTAAATATAATTATTTCTTGTCTCTTGAAGTATGGCCAAGGTTACAGATACAGGTTTCATGAGGACAAATGGAGCACTAGGAAAAATAATCCTGGTTAAAGATAAGCATTTTTTCCTGCTGATAGAGGGGGAAAAGGAGAGAAAATGAGCAGAGACTTATCTTTACATACTTTTGTGGAACAGATTGAATGTGGTTTCTGAAGTATTAATACCATATGAAAGTATGTCAGATTCCTAGGCAAAACATATTTTAAGTCGGAGACTTTCACAGACCTCTAGAGCAGGGGTCCTCAACCCCTGGTCTGCAGTCAAGTGCCGGGCCACGGTCCATTGGGAATCAGGCCATGTAAATGGCAGTTGGGTGCATGAAGCTGCATTTGTGCAAGTAGTGCATGTGTGCAAAACAATCCCCCCCCCCCCAGTCGCCACCACCACTGGTCCACAGAGCAGAAAAGGTTGGAGATCTCTGCTCTTGATATTCCTAATGTGTTATCCTTATTTGATTATTTATTTATTCATTACATTTATGTACCACCATCTCATCTAGAGATGATCATGAGATAGGACTAATTTTGGTATAGTGAGCTTTCCCAGTCACTAGCCTGGTTGTTGCATTCTGGACCAATTGGAGGTTTTGAGTCATTTTCAAAAGCAACCCACATCAAGCATGTTGCAGTAGTGATCAAGATGAATTCCTATCACAACAGCTTCCTTGCCCATGGGTATGATAGTCCTTTGTTGTCATTGATTGATTGATTGATTGATTGATTGATTGACTGACTGACTTACTGTATGCCAGTGTCAGTGTCAGCTCTAGCAACCGTATAGATAGATCTTCTCCAGGTTTGTCTTTCCTAATCTGACCTTTCACATCTTCCTGGATGGAAGCAATGGTGTACTCATTATTATTGTAATTGCCAAGTAAGTGTAATCATCTTGCTGCTAGTTGTCCTCTTCTTGTCTTTCCTTCCACTTTTTCTAGTGTCATGGATTTATTCAGAGAGTTATGTTTTCACAGAACATGTCCAAAATAGGATCCTTTGTGCCTCAAGTGAGAATTCTGAATTGACTTGTTTGTTGATTCATTTGTTTCTTATAGCTGCTGTCTATGGTATTTTATGGAGTCTAAAAGCCTCAATGCTCCTTCTGTTCTGCTTCTTTCTTTTTGACAGAACCTCACATTGCCTGCAAAATTCTGATCTTTGCAAATATAGAGGCATCCCTGAATCTTTTCTCAGGTCTATTCTATCAAGTGCTAGTCTGGGCTATATTTCATAACAGCTGATTCATTTATACTTTATAGTTGATCCTAAAAAGCAGAAGCTGTCCACCCTGTCTTCATTGCCAATTAAGATGTATATGGCCACCCATCTTAAGCAAATCTGGTGGCTTACAATAAGCATAAAACTAATAAATAATCATAAAGACAATGGTAAGTCTGGTTGTTGTACCTGTTATCATTAATTTGGTGTTTTTTGCATTTAATCTTAATCTTATTTTTTTCCTTAAATTGCGGTCCTTATACAGCCCTTAACTGGTATTAAATAAATATAAGTCCCCCTTTATTCAGGGGAGATGTAAATGTATTAAAATGTATTAAATAATAGATTACATTATACATTACTTTGGATGGAAGGGATTGCAGGAACTTAAAACATAGGTGAAATAGGAATTAGCAGTGGGGCGAGGAAATTTCATGCCAATATAATGCTTTGCCAATTCCAGGATTAATAGAGAGCGCCCAGAATGCATAATTCACCATGAATTGGCAACAATCAATCAGGCCAAATATAAGAAAAAATAGAGAAACTGATGCTAATTCAACCCCTTTAATTTGTTAGGATTTATCTCATTTGATTAAACTCCAAAACCCATTTCTTTAGACTCAGTATTATTCAGGATAAGCAGGGGCAAGCTTTTCAACTTCTCCTCAGGGTGAACCATATTTTTGAGTTACGCTTCAATAACTCTGGTGCTCAGGCCTATGCATTAACACAGGCATCATAATAAGTAAGCCTTTGTATCCAGGCCCTTTTTTCTCTTTGCCTTCTGGATGATGATGTGAATTGAACTGTAACACCTATAAGACCTTTTTTCCTTGGCAGTGGAAGGAAGGATGTTTCAAAGCTCTCTTGTTCCTTGTCTTCTGTACTAAAGTTTATTTATTTTTGCTTGTTTAGAAAAGATGAATGGAAGGAGGATCAATATGTTTGTAACTGCCACCTTGTATCTTCTCTCCCAATTTGTCCTTTGCGATGGGACTGCAGCTTCAGAGAATGAGGAATATGCAGAGATTATTGGTAAGTGCTCTTTTATTTATTCTCACAAAGCTACAGTACAGAGAAATAAAATGTCCTGGTTTAACAGGCCGTATTTAATGCAATTCCTAATTGTGGTATGCATTTTCAAGATGAATGGATAATAATATTTTCAGTCCTGATTGAATTCCACTGGTTATCATTCATGAGCCTGTTCTGTCTTAATTTGCAATTAGTCTGTAATTTCATCCATTCATATGTATGATTTCGAATGTACTTTTCACAAAATACCCTTTTAGCAGCAAACCTAATTTCAAAGCATATTTTATCTAAACTAAAAGTATAAATTAATTACGGCAATTTATTTGAGGTCTGAAATTCAAAGATAATGTAAATACAGAAGAAATGTTTTAAAAAGGTAATGTAGTTAAAAACAAAAGAGTTTCCATCTTTGGCATTAATCCCCCTCACTATTGCAATATTTTAATAACCCAGACAGTTCCTATTAAAAAATAAGCTTTAAAACTCGATTGTAAGGAAGATCCTGATGTATTAATTATGTCCAGTAACGTATCTCTTGAAAGATGCATTTCCTGAAGGGAATGAGTCACAGCCATTGAAACTGCCTCTTTCTTGTAAAGGGTGAAAGTCCATAACTTATTAGCATCACTGCTTGGAGATTCAGCTTGTCTAGCAGGAAAAGCTTTTAGCAGACGTGGGTGTTGGGTGGGTGGCAAGTTGTCAAATCAAGCTTATGATGGGGACAAAAAAGAGACTCATTTTCTCTCAATGCGACAAGCTGTTTTGCCTTGATAATGCTCATCAACAAGAATAATTTGAACAGAGTCTTGTGATGGATGAACTGTATAAATAGAATATAAATAGAATATATAGACACGAAGCATTTCACTTGGGAGACAACAGAACAATCAGCCATAGGAAAGAGTACTGAATATTTTTTCCTGTCAAGTCAGCTTATCATAAATAGGTGATCATTTAGTTATGATTGTAGAATTAAAGAGTTGTCATATTCTGCAAGGAAATTTGATTTGGGTTAGTAAAAAAAACCTCACTTAACAAAACCTACATGCATGAGGCTCATTTTAGTAGGAGTAAGAAATAAGGAGAGTCAGTTTGGTGTAGTGGTGAAGGTACTGGCCTAGAAATCAAGAGGCTGTGAATTCTAGTCCTACCTTAGGCCTGAAAACCAGCTGGGTGACCTTGGGGCTTGGGCTAGTCATTCTCTCTCAGCCCAACACACAACACTGGGTGGTTGTTGTTGGAGAAATAGGAGGCAGAAGGAATAGTAAGTATGTTTGCCATCTTGGATTATTTGTAAACAAACAAACATGCTGTGAGTTTCAGACTTCCTTTATGCCCAAAGCCAGTTAGGTGAGGTTGGATCAATCCCTACCCTCAGTTCAAGGGGGAAAAGCAACAAAAACCACTTTTAAAACAAGATGACAACTATCCAGACTGATTTGAAGATATATACATAGTAGAATAATACAACTTTCAATGATAATAATTCTTATTTCAATACAAAATTGAAAAAAATTAATTATTTCAATACAAAATTATCAAACCTTTTATTTGAAACATCTTTTTTGAAATAAATTCTTCTCCATATTTTATATATCTTTCTTTAAGTATTATTATATATTAATAACTGAGCCCAGTGCAAAATGGGATAAGTATAAGAGGGAAAAATATGAGCCGCAAAAACTGAGTGATTTAGCCCCTCGGCTAAATAGAATCTTCTGTAAATCTTCTAGGTTAGGTTAGGTTAGGTTAGGTTAGGTTAGGTTAGGTTAGGTTAGGTAATACTGTGCTGTACTGTGCTATACTAATACTGTACTGTTCTATACTATACATTAAGCTGTTTTCTGTATCACTGTTTTGCAATAAATTTGACTTGGCTTAGCTTAACCTTTATCAGAACTTTATCTAGCTTTAAGGGACAATTAATAAATGACCCAAATTACTTTTCTCATTAACTACACATCCCTTGGAAAAGGTTAAGAACACAGTAATATTAAAAACAAATAAACTTTAAATATAATAGTTTACATTTAGTGTAAATTAAATCACATTTAATGTTTTGCCTTTCTCAGTTCTCAGTACATTGTTCTCGGTATATTGGAGTCTGTTCCTTGCCATACCACTTAAAACAAAGAACACATGTTAAATCTTATAAAGACAAACGAAATCAGGTTTCAGGCATTTGATGGGAAACTGGAACTAAAACGTTTTTTTAGTCTTCAGAAAAATACTGTATCAAATTTTCTTTCCCCACCTTTCCCAGAATTGTGAGAAATGATATGATGAGTTTATTCCATTATATCCAGCTTATGGCTGTCATTCTAGTTCCTACTGAATTCAGAGGATAAATTGGGACATCAATTTCAACTGCAGGAACATTCAACATTCAAATTCAACAAGGATAGGCTGTATTCTGAATTTCTTGGAACTTGTATCATCCTGAGTGTGGTTTCCACAATTGCTTTTCCGTTAGAACTCTTGGCGTTCTCCTGTTCCATTCTGGAAAATCATTCTGGAAGAATGGGAACAAGGGAAGAGACAAATGGGTAAAAAAATCTCACCTCCCTTTCATAAATTGAATCCTCTCTTGTATTTTAGCCCATCCATGAATAAGAGGGACATTTCTCTTTATGGGCATGAAGTTAATCCCCAAGGCACTAGTGGGTAAACAAACCTATGTAAATACAAAAATCTACTTATTTGCTATCATCACCTTACTTCTTTTGCTTTTTGTGTTTATTTTTGTGTTTATTTTTGCAACCCTTTTTCTGTTAGTCATCGGTCAGCTCTAAGAGAAAGCAAATAGGAATTGAAACAGGTTAGTGTAACACGTAATTACAGGTCTACCATAAACTCCTCCTAAAGAGCAGGACATGGATGCCATTTGTACTTGGCTGCCATCTATCTTGGCAGCTCCAACTTTCAAGATTGGGGGGAGGGGGTTTAAAAGAAATTTGCAGGCAATAAAGAGGTTGACCTACCAATTATAGCTCTAGTTAGCCATCATTTTGGGGTTTTTTGTTTTTGGTTTTTTGTGAACAGTCCATTCTGAGACTGCTATTTCTTTAAATTGTCTGCTTTTGTCCATCTCCCCCACATTTTTTCCCCTCTGGTTTACTTTCTTCCTGCTGTATTCACTGGAAACATTTTATATTGAAATCCTGTGGTTGCTGATGAAGCATCCCAAGCAGCACAGGATATGTTGTGTGTTCCTCTCCAAGGACCACAAAGGCAGTCTGACCTTATTACTACTTCCCAGCTGCTGTGGAAACCTCCTTGGGAGAAGTGTGTATGTGTATGTGTTGTCCTCTTGTTGAAACTAATGTAGTTGATCTTGTGATGGAGAACTGTCACGTATGGAGGAAAAAGTTCAAATATACTGTTCCACCCTCACTTCTATCCTGCTAGAATGAGCCCAGCTGAGTATGACACGCAGTAGTATGTTTCCTGCAGAATTTCTGCAATTCAGCAAGTATCTTTGCTAGGAAGAAGTCCAAGTCCGGTATATTTTTATTACTGAGGAAATATTGACCTCTTGGTTCTCCCATATGTTTAGAAGTCTTTGATTCCAAAAAGGAAATCTCTAATGTTTGAAATAGAAACAAAGACAGCTGCACTTCACGCGGTGTATAAATAATGACCAATACTAGGATGTTGTTTTTTTGTCATTCCCAGAATGGCTAAGAGTAAGCATACTCTTTGTGCCTTAGGGGGCCAACAAAACTAGTCTAAATATAGTTTTGGATGAAAGATTAGGAGAACTTCCATCAAATGATAAAATTAATCTCCAGTGTTTTGACATATTTGTTCCAATATATTGCTTCTGAATTCTTTGGAGAAAAAAATACATCACCAGGAAATTAAAGAAAAATTCTACTTCATACTCACAGATTTCACTATCTGGAGTTACCTTAGTGAGGCAGAGAGAAGCTGCTTTCTCTTCTTTTTCTTCCCCTGAACACAAAGCAGAAGGAAACTAAGATGCCAAGATATGCCAAGAATCAAACAAAAGAACAGATCCTTGGATGAAAAAAAACCTATTAATTCTCTTCCTTCTGTGTAAATTATTATACTCGTAAAAACTAATGGAAACTTCCGAGTACTGTGTGCAATTGCCCCATTTATTGGGAATGTGTTAACTATTAAAAACTCCAAATGTGGAAAATGGAATATATTTCTAAGGGGCTACAAAAGCTCTTGAGAACAGAAGACCTTGCCTTTGATTTGAGTTTATTCAGCTCAGATTGAGTTTTCTGCTAAACTGCAAATAGCCTTTTGGTGTATAGAAAACAGTTTTTCCACTAAAGAACAATATCATTGGATTCCACTTAATAAAAATGAGGCATGTTTTGCAGTAATAATAATGTAAAATCATTGACTTTGCCAGACTGACAGGGCACTCAGATAATGAGAACCCCTCCAAACTGTTTTATACAAAGTCATTGCCATGTCAGTCAAGGTCACTATAAGATAATAAGTGTCATACGGGAAAAACCCAAGTTAACTGTGGTGAACCACAAAAAGATGATTCAACAACGGACTCAGTAAGCAAAATAGATACAATATCCACCCACCCCACATGTACACATAGACATTTTCACAGGAATATAGTGAATCCAAATTTGATTGTGTGTTCAGGTTTTTAATGTCTAAATGACATTAATTAATAATTGTTGAGATTTTTTTTTAAAAGAATTTCCTTTTTCCCAATTATACATGATAGATATCACTAATTTCCCATTGTTCATGGCTTCCTTCTCCCTGCCCTTCTTCTCAGTGTCCCATCCTTTCTACTAAACAATTTATACTCTCATCTTCCTCCCTGGTCAGAGCAGAGGAAAAGAGAGAGGCATTGCAGCCACAGATGGAGCATCAGCTTTAGGCCTCTCCCAATCTGGCCTGGCCTTTTTTGGGGACGGAGAGGTTTTCTGGCTCCAATCATAACCATCCCCATTGACAGATAGGAATGATCTAAACCAGGGGTTCCCCAGTTGATGGACCGGTGCCGGTCCATGGCATGCCAGAAACTGGTACGCACAAACAAGCAAAGCCCCATCCACAGGATGCAGGCAGCACACAAAACCACCACCCCACTGGTCCATGGAAAAACCTCTTTCCATGAAACCAATCCCTGTTGCCCAAAAGATTGGGGGCTGCTGATCTAAACTGATAGCAACTGCAAGGAAGAAAATAATTGGAATTAAAGGATCTCTGTCCACAGATGTGTACTCATGTTTTCCATATTTTGCATTTGCAGTAAAAGGCTGCCAAGCAGTTTGAAAAAAAGGGGTGGCTTCAATGGATATCCTTTAAAAGAATAGAACCCTTAAACACTGATTACATCTTATCTCATCTTTTTTTAAAAAATATAGATCTGTATGATATTAAGATGTGGTAATTTGTCATCTGTAATCTTCAAAGGAAATGAATAAATGAACAGTGTGCGCGACACTTCAGTTTTGTAACTTCCAGGGAATTAATGGCTCTTGGATGTATAATTTCTAGGCAGATGCTGCCCCCTAGAGATTATGTTATGCCTCTTTAAGTCTCAATAATACATAGTCAAATGTTTGAATGAAGCTATATAGGGATATATAGATAAAATATTATAGTGCAATTTAAAAGATAAACTAATATTGAACTTTGTAATAATATAAACATATATAGACAATGTATGCTATATGTAGTATATAAACATTCAGTCCTTTTTCATGCTAACTTGCAAGTGAAAAAATATTGTACCATTGAACCTACTTTTCAGCAGTTTGTTCATCGTCAGTGATATTCTTGTTTCTTTTTATAATTACATCCTACAATAATAAGCATAGTAATTACGCTTTCAATGGAGAGGAAAGCAATTTAAAATAATAATAATAATAATAAGCAAAGTTGAAAGAGCTTACATGATCCTTGAATTTACAAAAAGAAAGCTTTTAGTATACTATAAAGAATAGTTATATAAAGAATGTCATAGTAAGAAAAATGGAATCGTTGACCTGCCATCCAGGAAAAGAGGTTTTAGGCTCTTCCTATGTCTTGATAAGCTCCCAGTGTATGGCCAGCAGTTTTAAGCAAATGAAACCTTTTTCATTCCACTGGTGCATTTGGTAAGGTATCTTTATTTTTTCTAGTGCTCTTGAAAACTATGTTGGAACTAGCTACCAATACCGTGTTTCCCCGAAAAGAAGACCCTGTTTTATATTTTTTGAACCCTGAAATAAGTGCTTGGCCTTATTTTGGGGCAGGTCTTGTTATTTTGGGGCGCGTGGAGGAAACCAGAGGAAATGGCAGGGACCGGCTGCGCATGCATTTAAATATTTTTGGGGAGAGCTTATTTTCAGGGGGGGCTTATTTTAGCGCATGCACTCAAAAGCCCGATTGGGCTTATTATCAGGGAATGTCTTATTTTTGGGGAAACAGGGTATATTTATTTATGGGATAGGCATAGTGAAGGACTTTACAAACTCTACTATATGCAGCCTCCCCCAAACAGCAAATATAAGTGGGGTTACAAGTTGGACTCAGAGGCGCTTGTGCATAGCTGAGTAGCTGATAGTACTGTTCCCAGCTTTATCTTGCAAGCAAGCTGGCAACTGGCTGATGCAGGAAAACCCAGAGTCAATTTTTACTGGGTTCTTGCTTTAGATGGGTAATCTCATGGCATTTTTTAAAAGCTGGAGTATTGTCAGAATGGAAGGGACGCGGTAGCTCAGTGGCTAAGACACTGAGCTTGTGGATCAAAAGGTTGGCAGTTCAGCTATTCGAATCCCCAGTGCCGTGTAACAGGGTGAGCTCCCGTTACTTGTCCCAGCTTCTGCCAACCTAGCAGTTCAAAAGCACGTAAAAAATGCAAGTAGAAAAATAGGGACCACCTTTGGTGGGAAGGTAACAGCGTTCCGTGCGCCTTTGGTGTTTAGTCATGCCGGCCACATGACCACAGAGACATCTTCGGACAGCACTGGCTCTTCGGCTTTGAAACGGAGATGAGCACCACCCCCTAGAGTCGGGAACAACTAGCACATATGTGCAAGGGGAACCTTTACCTTTACCTATTGTCAGAATGGATTCCTAATCTATCTGGACAAAGGGACAGAAGGTCAGGATTTTCATCTGCTTTTATCAAGAGCAAATTCTGTTCTAAAGTAAATGTGGATCAAGGAATAAATAAAATTCAGATTGCAGACTAAATGCCAGACTAAGCAAGTGCTTCCTTTCCACTAAATAAACTAAAATCTAGATTTTAGATTCAAGAGTTTTACATCCAGTAGGAAAGTTTTACTTTATGATGCTGCCAGATTCTATATGAATGACAGTTACAAGTAAATTGTTTGTGGTTATTTTATTCCCAGAGCGATCACACAAACTCACTTGATTTTAGGGTATAATGGTACTCCATACATAAAGAATGAAAACCAGTTTGATGCAGTGATTAGGGTACCAGGTTATAAACTAGGATATGTCCAATCCTGCCTTAGAAATGAAACCAAATGGGTCACTTTGGGTCAATCACTCTCTTTTAGTTCCAAGGAGACAAGGATAAATAAAACTTTACTAAAGAAAAATAGAAGGAGGAAGGAGTATTATGTTGTTCAATTATTATTTATAAAAATAATAAAGGCATTAAAAAGAAAGCCTACAGGGACTAGTCCAGGCAGTCATCAGAAGTCTACACTGACTTGAAGGTGCACGTGTATACACACACACACACACACACACACAAACTGAAATGTAGTGTTGGACCAAAAGAAATATTTTACAGACATTCTCATTCTAGCTCTTGGAAAAAGAACTGAATATATATGATACATCATGTTTAGATTCCTTCAAATGCATTTGGCTGTTATACTGTGCATATTATAGCAGGCAATATTATGGAATACTGTTATTTACCTTCTTCCAGGTCTCAATTCATCCCCACTCATACTAGGCATGTCAATCTGTGCCTTGAAAGCTGATTCTGGTCCCTGCAAAGCCCTGCACACCCGCTATCATTTCAACATCCATACTCACCACTGTGAACTTTTCAACTTTGGTGGATGTCAAGGCAATGAAAACAACTTTTTAACCCTAGACGAATGTCAAGAAAAGTGTGTCGTGAAAGGTCAGTATATTCCTTGCTACAATTCTTTCTTTTTCAAAAGAAACACTTCTTTTTAAGTCTCACGCGAAAGCCAATTCTTTGGACAACTTATCAGATTGTCATATTATGTACTACTGGGTTACCTGCAGAATTTATACAAATATATACATGAATATAGGAAACAGCGTTGTACCAAATTAGATCATTGATCCAACTCGCTCTATTCTTGTAGTTTCCCAGAATGTCAGTGATTACAGCCATTCCTAGAGACATCACAAATTAAATTTGGTGCCATGTTCATGTGAAACATCTTTATACACCTGAACTCTGATCGTTCTTGGAATTAAAACTAACTCAATGATAAATATAAAACTTTGAAAAAGTATTTTGAATAGTAAGTTCCATATCTCATTTTCTTTTTCTTTTTTTTTTTTTTTTTTTAATTTTTATTAATTTAAGAAACCACATAATACATTTATAAATGCAAGTAAAACAATTTACAACAAACATCATCTTTATAACATCTACCTATAATATCTGAATTGTTACAATATCAATATCCTATATTCTTCAATATACAATATTTCTCTCACCTTATATAATGATATTATTTTATTGATATCTCGTGTCTCTTTCTTAAATTTCATTTGATTTAAAACTTTATTTTACTCTATTGATATCTTTTCTTTTATTCAATTTTTCTTTCTTTCTTCTTCTCTTCTTTTTCCACTTCCCTCTAACCATTTATACCATTTTTGCCAGACTAGATAATATTCAGATTCTTCTTTTCCTTGGATCTCCTTGGTAAGTTTATCCATCTCAGCGCATTCCATAATTTTGGATATTAATTTCTCTTGAGTCGGGACCTCTTCTTGTTTCCAATTTTGTGCGTATATAATTCTTGCTGCAGTCAAAATGTGTGTTATTAAATATATTATTTCTTTTTCATATTTGCTTGTAGGTATTCCTAATAAATAAGTTTCTGGCTTTAATGGCACCTTTTGAGTTATTATTTGTTCTAGTTGCATTTTTATATTGTTCCAGAATTTTTTAGCTTTGGAACATGACCACCATATATGATAATATGTCCCTTTATGCGCTTTACATTTCCAACAGAGTGGAGATGTGCCAGGAAACATTTTAGAAATTCGCGCCGGTGGTAGATGCCATCTATAGAACAATTTATAAGCATTTTCTTTGTATGGTACAGATAATGTTAATTTATTAATACTTTTCCACAATTTTTCCCACTTATTTAATTCTACTGCATACCCAAAATTCAGGCAAAATGAACATTAAGTCCTAGGTATCCATCAATTTAACCTACATTCCAACAGATGTAAATTTGATGCTCTGGGCAATTTCCATGTTTTAAATTTCAGTCAGTACTAACACTATATACATAAAGCAATTGTTATCCAGGTTTAATAATACATACTTCAGAGATATTGCAGATGTGGTTCCAGACCACCGGAATAAAGCAAATATTGCAGTAAAGCAAATCACACAAATGTTTTGGTTTCCCAGTCTGTATAAATGTGATATTTACACTATACTATGGTCTATTAAGTGTGCAATAGTATGTCTGAAAAAGAAAACCAATGCACATACTTTAATTAAAAAATACTTTATTGCTAAAAAATGCTAATCATCTGAGCCTTCAGCAAGTCATAATCTTTTTGCTGGTGGAGGATCTTGAAAAAAAAACCTCACACTAAGTGTGAAGTGTAATAAAGTGAAGCGCAATAAAACAAGTTATGCCTGTATATACTAAAAGTCCAAGTGGGAAATATATCTTATAACCAAGAAGTTAATTCAGCAGGGATTTAGTTATTCCAGAGTCTCCAGTAGAGAAAAGTACTATCAAATAGCTGGCTGGTTAAGAAAATCCCAAACTGCAACTTTTAATAAATCTTTCTGCCAGAAAAAAACAATCTTACTTAACTCAGTCAAGGCAAGTGAAAAGAGCACTGCAGTGGGCAAGTATAATAAACATCATGAATTTGTATGCTGACCTGGAGAAGCCAAACCAGTCAGGGCCCCAGGTGCATGTTTAAGGGTGCACAAATGCAGTGTAAGGAAAAGTGTTTAATTCAAACATAACAAAAGTCAGATGACGAAATAAGACCTCAGTCTCCAAGGGAAAAAGGCTTAAATCATGCCCCTCAGCCTTAATCTCCAAGAAAATTGAAAGTCCTCTTAAAATTAGAAGGAAGGTGGCATCATCATGCAGGCAGGGAAGGTATGTTATAGAGCCTTTCATTTAAAGAATGAAAGGGGTCCAGGAAAAGAGCCTCTCTTCCATTTCCCCCATCTTCTGGAACATTCTCCCTTCAGAAGTGAGGTGGGCTATCATTCTCCTGGCCTTTTGAAGGAATTTGAAGACCTCTGCCAACTCAAATAGGGCTCACTGAGCAATACGCAACCCTGGAACCTAAAAGTCTCTCCCCCCACCCTCCATACACACTTTTTAACTTCTAATTTATTTTATTCCTGTTTTTATCTGGCTCTTCTTATTGATGCATTGTATTTTTATATGGCTTTTATGCTTTTAACCGTATATCACCAGAGTCACTCTGGGAGTTGGGCAGTACCCAGGGATGGGTTCTACTTACCTTTACTACTGGTTTGCAACGGGAGTGCGTTTTGCTCACGTGCGAAGAAGCTTCTGTGCATGCGCAGATCATCAGTGATGACATTGTGGCAGGTGGGCGGAGCTTACTACCGGTTCTCAAGAACCAGACCAAACCAGGAGCAACCCACCACTGGCAGTACCTAAATTTGACAGATAATAAATAAATACCAATAATAAATACCCATGGAAAACAAAACTTCAGAAAGTCCCTCTGAATTTGGAAATGAAAAAGATGTCAGTTACATTTTCTGATGCATCTGAAAAAAATATGTGTCAGTACATTTATAAGATTTGAAAAAGAATCATGCTTATAAGATGTTCATATGCTCTGCAACATGTATTACTTATAACTTTGATTACTAGAACACTGGGAATTGCCAATTGCTCGTCTAGTTGCTGAAATTAGTTTAGATGCTTTGTGTACATTTCTTTTATCAGACTTCATCGTTTTCAGCAGTTTGTTGGTACTATCTCTCAATTATCTCAGCCTGTCCATCCAGATTGGACTGAGTTGACATGTTACAAGTGCCATCTATTAAAGAGTTTTATTTTATAGAACTCAGGAACTCTGTGGCTCTGGATGTCTTGTAGAACAGCATTTCCCCGCCTGCCCCCCCCCCCAATCACAGATTCAGATGGCCCTGATCCTCCTGGCCTTTAGACCTAACTTTTCCTCCTGATGCTGGGCCAGGATGTTGCACAGGCCATTGATATGTGAATTGTGAGTTATCATCCCCAGCACTATATATGTGTCTTTCTTGATTTTTATTCTGATTTTTTAAAATTCTTGATATCAGTATGTTAAAGTATATTAGCTGCTCAGTGTCAGCTCGCACTGCGAGATGAGTGGCATATATATTTAATAAATACATAAAGTTAATGTATTCAGAGGAACATGTATAGTCCAACAATGACATTAATGATATTTCTGAAAGAAAGGGGTTCTACATAGATGCGGCAATGACAAAGTAAATCTACATTTTTTTAAAAAATAACTATGATGTGCAAATTTTGAGAAGCAAAGGAAAAAATTGAAAACTAACCTCCATAGGATGTTTCTATTCAAAAGAAATCATCATCATCATCAGGCTTCTATCCTTCCAAGGTAAAATGAGAACCCAGATTGTGGGGGCAATATGCTGACTCTTATTGTTTAGAGAGGGCTGTAAAGCACTGTGAAGCGGCATACAAGTCTAAATGCTATTGTTAGTGCTATCATCATCTATATTTCAAAAACTATACACATGAACGCAGTTCTACAAACTATATTCATATATATCATACTGTATATATCAATCTATATTAGAGAGAGAAAGATTATGCCCATATGAGGACTTTTACTGTTACATTTCTAGATCTAGTTTAAAATTATCTTTTCCATTACAGATGTGCCAGCGAAGATAAAGAAATCAAGACTTAAGAATGGTAACTTACTGTTTCATTGTGTTTTGTTATCTCTCAGTATTAAGAAATAATTTCCCAACAGAAATGTGACTGGGTTAAGTTACTATACAGATTTTACTCAAATGTCCAAAGTTCTTATTAGCTTATAAGATTGTTGTACTTATCATAGCAAACAATAATTATAATTTTTTAAAATGTTTCTTTCATCTGTAAGAAGGCGAGGGGCTCAAAAATGAGATCATTTTTATTTCTGGTGTTTGATTTTGGAGAGCTTCATATTAATAGTACAATGCAGTACAATAATTTTTAACTTATAATTTACAATGTATAATGTAATATAATTGTATCACAATTAAGTTTGTATTGTAAAATGAATAATGAATGAGAAATGAACATTGCCAAGATAAATTATTAGTGTTCATATCACATCAACTCAATTATCCTTAGTTAATTAGGTTTTAAGTGGCTGTCTTCTTTGCATTGCACATGATAATCTTGATTGTAAAAAGTACCATTATCTTGAAATCCATTGAAACCAATCAAAGCAATAGGAAAGCAATGGCATGAGAATTAGAATCAATATGTTCAAGACAGATTCTTTTTTTATTATTTTTTATTATTCAGAAGAATATTTTTACCCATAACAATCCACAGTTTTGGAAGAATTGCATTAAAGTTGATTTCATTTCAGACATTAATTTCTTTATCCAAAAACTGACAAAGGACAGTGCTATCTAATCTTTCTTAGGAGATAGAGGGGTCAAGCAGAAAGACCTCTGAATCAGGGGTGGGTTCTACTTACCTTTACTACTGGTTCGTGATGGGACCGCATGCGTGCGCCTGCTTCTAAGCATGCACAGATCACCCATGATGATGTTGTGGTGGGTGGGCGGAGCCTCCCATCGGTTTTATTACCGGTTCTATAGAACTGGACCAAACTGGGAGCAACCCACCACTGCTCTGAATGCCACTAACAATAAGTTTGGTTCACCCTGAAATAGACTTAATTTCTTCCCATATTACCAAAAATTAAGTTTGGCCCCTTAGGTTTAAAGTTTGAGATTAAAATGTAATGATGGAGAGCATTTCACTGTAATTAGACTAACATAGATATAGTGCGTAAACTGTTGGATTAAAAGTGGCAGAAGCAAGTTCAGATCTATCCCCAGATATGCATTTATTTATTAAATTCATATGGCATCCATCTCATTGTCAAACGACTGTGGGCTGCTTAAAACATCATAAAATAACAATATAAAACAATTAAGATGGTAAAAACATACGAGAGATCGCTAGGTAACTTTGGACCAATTATTCTCTCAGCCCAACCTGATTCACAGCAGTGTTGTTGGCATGAAAAGTAGAAGGAAGGAGTGGTATATATTTATGCCACCTGGAGCTCCTGAAGGAAAGGCAGGATATAAAATTTGTAAATAAATAACAGAATGAGAAGTCGGATGTTTAATTGACAAATTTAGCCGAGTTATCATTATGAAATCTTTTGGACCAAGGTTTTCAAACTATTGTCCAATTTCCAGCTGCATTAGAAGTCGTAGCAGCTGTTCTTACTTTCATCATTAGGGTGAGATCATTTTTGTAGCATACGCTTGAAGACTATGTAAATATAGCTGAGTTTAAGCCTGACAACTGAGTATAAGGAAGGAAGAAAAAAGATACAAATCTCATATTTTTGTGGGAGACATTTTCTGTCATAGATTACCTTTTTGAAAAATTGAGGCCATCTGGACTCTGAAATTAAATATTAAATATTATGGCGGCATCAAAGGTTTACCACTCTCTTGAGAGCTATTGCCTAACTGTGGCTGAAAATATCAGAATAAACCCGGCCTGTGAAACTCATCACATTCCATCTCAGTTATGGCTATTATGGAAACTGAATCAGCCATATTATTTGCAAACCAAAGTAGAGTATATAGCTAGTCCCTAGACAACTACTATGGATAATACACTACAATTACATTATGTTTCACATTCTGGATATACAAAAATCTTCCACCTATAAAACTAGAGTATTGAAGGATTTCCTAAATCTTTCTCCTGAAGTCAATGGGACTGAGTAGCATTTAACTTTAGTTAGAACTGAATGATTTTATAATGAAGTTAAGAGGAATCAATAACAATAACAGTGGAAAAAATAACTGTTATTTTCCTTCCTGAAATAATCCTAATTCACAGAAAAGCCGTCCTTCTGCCTTTTGGAAAATGACCCTGGTGTCTGCCGAGGATTAATTTCCAGGTATTTCTACAACAAAGAGTCACAGCAGTGTGAAAAATTCCAATATGGAGGTTGCCTGGGAAACCAAAACAACTTTAAATCTTTGCAAGAATGCCAAAATACCTGCCATGACAGAGGTAAGTGGAGCTGGTACTTAACTGCATCTCTCAGTGCCTGTTGGTGTAAGGCAGGAATAGAGAGCCTCTGTCCTTCCAGATCTTTTTTTAGAAAACAACTGTTGCTAGATTCCTTCTCTGTGGGAGCCCCAGCCCTGTGGAATGAACTGCCCCCGGAAATACGTAAGATCTCCGACCTCCGGGTGTTTCGTTGTGCACTCAAGACCCTGTTGTTCCGCCAGGCTGGGCTATCAACATAACAATTTTAAATTGGGTTTTAAATTTCTGGGGTTTTAAAATTTAGCCGAATTCATTTAATAATTTTAAACTATTTTAACTGATGTTGTTTGTGTTTTTAATAGGCTGTACACCGCCCTGAGTCCTTCGGGAGAAGGGCGGTATAGAAATAAAATTATTATTATTATTAAATTATTATTATTATTTTATTGGCTGAATTACCAATGGCTGATAGGACTTGAAATTTATAGAATTCAAAGCTTGTGGGAACGGTAGCATGTCTGCTGAGTTACAACAGAAATTCATTCACATGTTCAGTTTGAAGGCTGCATATATGAGTGGTTGCTATCATGTGTTTTCATAATTGGAGAGAAAAAGCAAAGAGGATAAGGAGTCCCTTTCAGTCTTCAGTGAAAGAACTGCATAAACAATGTATTAGCAAGCTAGTATGACATAGAACTAAGGGACGTGGTGGCTCAGTGGCTAAGATGCTGAGCTTGTCGATCGAAAGGTCGGCAGTTCAGCGGTTCAAATCCCTAGTGCCGCATAACAGGTTGAGCTCCTGTTACTTGTCCCAGCTTCTGCCAACCTAGCAGTTCGAAAGCATGTAAAAAATTCAAGTAGAAAAATAGGGACCACCTTTGGTGGGAAGGTAACAGTGTTCCGTGCACCTTTGGCGTTCAATCATGCCGGCCACATGACCATGGAGACATCTTCGGACAGCGCTGGCTCTTCGGCTTTGAAACGGAGATGAGCATCGCTCCCTAGAGTCGGGAATGACTAGCACATATGTGCAAGGGGAAACTTTACCTTTATCTAACAACATAGAACAGAAGGTGGGAATAAACTCCTTTTTCAGTTTAATGTAAACAAATGTAAATGAAGTGAAAACTGCTTCTTATGTCTAAGTAAGTTCAAATGAAAAGCAGATTTCAGGAAACTACAATCTTGGGGTATTAAATAAATGTTAATCACTGTGTTTTCTCTGTCCCAATATACCATTTTGATCAGATGTTTTTTTTTTTATTTATTTCAGTCCCCTCAGCCAATTCACTACAAATCGATGATGACCACACGGTTTTGGGTACTATTAGTAATAATAGTGCTCCACTTATTAAGCAAGGTATGTATTAATAGTTTATGCCTGAGTAAGAATCGGGCTCACTCTATAGTTCTCATCTGAACTTTTCCCTGTCATGTTTCTACTTTGCTTCTCATGATTCGGAAAGGAATTCAGTTTATTAACTAATGGGGGTTTCTGCAAAGCTTGAACCGATTCCTCTCTATATATTTTTTATTTCCTCTCTATTCCATCATCTGTATTGCTTTTTTAAAAGCAGATGTTTTTGCCCTCCCTCCATGGAAAAGCTGCTACTCTGTGCATTCTATTATTCTCCTAAAAGATGAGATCACTCTCATATATAATGCCTAAATAGAAAAGAGCCATAGCTTATGAACATATGAAGCTTCCTTAACCAGGGTCACATAGTGCATACTATATTATTAATTCTAACTAGTAACAGCCAAAAACATACTCAACTCTGCTAACTAACACTGGGTATGGTAGAAATTGCTGGGAATTTCTCCTTTAACTATGCCACTGCACAGTAGTGGGTTTCAATTTCGGCTGCTACTGGTTTGTTCATGGGCATGTGTGCATTCGCTCATCTACGCATGCACAGAGACATCCGGGTGGGTGGGCGGAGCCTCCTGCCGCCGCTGCTGCTGCTACCAGTTCGCCCAATCCAGGGTGAACCAGTAGCAACCCACCACTGCTGCACAAGTATAGTTTACCGAAGAGATCTCAAATTTCTAACATGCCATTGCAGCATGGGAATAGTCACATAATACATGCTAGCACCTAGCATGTTATCTGACAGATTACTCCTTCTGAATGTGCTGCATTTGTATTTTACTGCTTTCTGCCATAGTAGTGGCACTACTATGTTCACATCAGGAATATGCACTTTGTCTTTAGACTAATGACTCCAAACATCATTGAGGAAACATGGATGAGTCCAAGGAAGCCAAAACAAAAACATAGACTATAAAATTTATTCCTCAATAAATTAAATCAGAGTTTTGTTTAAGTTCCGTTTTTAATTGTTACCTAACTATTCTGCATACCTCCTAGAGTCTTGAGACTGGGATATATAAATGTCAGGAAAGAAATAATAAATACTAACATTTCTGAGGTAATTGTTAGTGGCAGAAATAAATCCCTTTTGTTGTTTTTTGGCTCGTTTTTTTAATCTTTCCTGATTTTTATTTTTATTTTTTGTCTGAAAGCTTTCTTTGAAAGATTTGTTGCCACTGTTTTTCCATGAGTATATGCCATACTGGAGATTGAGGCTTCTCACTTTTATGATCCACAGTTGTACGTCAGGGAGAAAGGAACAGCTGGAAAAAGACTGATCACGGTTGCTATATTTTTCTGCTGGCCATCTGCACTTTCATTCATATGTGCTTCTGGGAACTGGCTGGTAGTTTGTGGATTATGCATGCTGGCTAGAAATCTGGAGTGCTTGTGAGAAAAGTCCAGGGAGATCTTCTTAATGAACTTTGGGACTGCCTATGATGGGAAAGTGCTGTGTGGTTTTTCTACACCCTGGCTTCATTCATCACAGAACATAGACCTTTGCTTGGGCTATAATCACCTAATCCAGTAATGGGATGGAGGAAAGGCATTCTTGTGTCAGCCAAAATCCAATCAGGATGAAGGGTGGTACAGAAATGTTCTGAGTAGATAAATAAATAAAGCATTCAAACTGTTTCAAGAGTTATTGACAATACTTTTTCTTTTTTGCTTAGTCTTGGTGTTGGCCCTGATTGAACAGTTGAATACATCTCATGTCTTTATATTGATTCTTGCCCCTTGCTTAGGCAAGGATCTGCTGTTGAATTTGGAGACCCCACTCAAAACTTAAACCTATCCAATCAGAGGTACATATTGGTGGGAAAACATAGTATCTTAGAAGTTCTTAGTTCTAGTTCTTAGAACTTAGAAGCGCTATCTTTTAAAAATATCTTGACAGTCCTATGGAGCCACCGTGAGGAACAGTCTGACAGAATTACAAAATACTGGTGAGGTAGCCCTCAACTCATGACTGTAATGCAGCCTGCTCATTACAGTCAGATGTCATGATGGCTATTAAGTGAAGTACCCATGTGATCATCCCTGCTCTTCCTAATGTGGTTGTTAAATGAACATGCTGATCACTAAGCAAAGCATGGGGTGGCTTGGGCCCTGGAGAAGACCCTGACCCAGGCTCCCCAAAGCCTTCCCCACCCTTAAGGCATACCATGCTCCACTTCCTGCTCCTCAAGGGCCACAGGCCCTGCTTTCCATCCCACTGGGCCCAATACCTTTTTCCTTACTTCATATAACCCATTACACACTTACCTTTCAAAGAGCTCCATAGTTTGAGTGAGGGAAGCAAAGCAAGTTTTGTTGCTGGGCTATGTGGCATGAACCCAGAGGTGGCCACCATTTTTCGAGCAGCCACCATTCTGAAACAGCACCAACCCAGCAATAAACACTTACTGTGTTTTCTTAACCCAAACTTAACCTAGAGTTCTTTGAAAGGCAAGTGTGCAATGGGTGATGGGTAAGGAAGAGAGTGTGGGGCCTTGTGGGGAGAATTGGAGGGGGGGCGAGATAGCCTGGAGGCCTGTAGCATCCCTGTGGTTGGTTGTAAGGGGCAAACAACTATAAGGTGTTTTCTGCTGGCAAGGTGTCTACTGTAACTTCAAACATTTGCTAAGTGACCAGCCGAGAAATACCTCTACATTACTCAGATACACACAAATAAATACTCACATATATATATACACACCAATGTATCTTCCTCTAAATGCCTAACTAGATATAATGCCAACTTGCAGGGTCTAATGGAAACAATTTAATTTGACCTTTTTGCTTGCATTGCAATCTTCTTGGTAAGTGGCAAAAGTAATCAGATAATTATATAGATAAACTAGATCAAAATTTCACTCTAATGAAAGAGACTTGAAGTTGCCATAAATTTATGAACTGTTTTTAAATGGCTTTAATAAGGCATGAAATGTTGCTATTATCTCTGAGTCTAGAATAGTCTGATGGACTACTATAGTTTCTGGATCAAATGAATCTTATAGTACCATTCCTTGACAAAACAGCCAGCCACTAAATATTCTTTGGAGTAGTTAAATAATATCACCAATTTATTACTGCTGTGTTAATTGTTAATTGCATATTTTAATGGAAAATGGTATTTCATAATTAGCTATCCTAATCCTTACAGCAGGAGTATGAAATACATACACACACATACACAAAGAGAAAGATACACACAGAGACATACACACACATTTGAAATTTGGAAAGCAGAGGGAATTTTATGGGGAGGGAATCAAAAAAGGCAAGATGCTGGTCACGGCAACGTGATTGAAGCTTTATCCCTTCTTATATGTGTTGATGTCACATGCACAGGCAAAGAGGCAGGGCTTCAGTCATGTTGCCACAACTGTCATTGTGCTGTTTTTGAATGGTCAAATGGCAGTCGACAATGCTCCATTATTTCTCTTTATAGATAGTCACAGATAGGAAAATTTTATGCACAGAATTTAATCCACCTTCTTGGCTACTTTCTTTGGCTTCATGCTGTTTCTCTTTGTGTGCAGTGAGTGAGTGTGTGCTTATGTGTGCTTGTATGTACATGTCTCCATTTGGCTTTGTTCTCTTTGGTCATCTTCACAGAAGGAGCAAAAGAATAAATTCAAAATGCAAGCTAGGCATTAAGAAACACCTCATGATGCTCTAGGACCGTGATGGCAAACCTATGGCACACGTGCCACAGGTGGCACACAGAGCCATAATTGTGGGCACGTGAACGTTGCCCTAGCTCAGCTCCAGCATACATTGGTCTGCTGATTTTTGGGCCTTCCAGGCCCACCCAAAGTCAGGAAATGGGCCGTTTCCGGCCTCCAGAGGGCCTCGGGTAGGGATGCTATTTTCACCCTCCCCAGGCTCCAAGAAAGCCTCTGGAGCCTGGGGAGGGTGAAAAACAGGCCTATTGGCGCCACCAGTAACCTTTTTGCCTTTGCGTGCCAAAAGCGGCGGGAGTGCAGGGGGTTGCGTGTGCATGCTGTGTGGGGGGATGCGGGGGGGCACTGAATTATGGGTGTGAGCACACGTGCGCGCAACTCCCCCCCGCGTTCCCCTCGCTTTTGGCACGCAAAGGCAAAAAGGTTAGCCATCACTGCTCTAGGAAATGGCTCTGCTAACATAATATAGAACATAGAATAACATAGTTGGAAGGGACCTTGGAGGTCTTCTAGTTCAAACCCCTGCTTAAGCAAGAGACCCTATACCATTCCAGGCAAATGTCTATCCAGTCCCTTCTTAAAAGCCTCCATTGATGGAGCACCCACAACTTTTGAAGGCAAGGCAAACTGTTGCACTGATTCATTGTTCTAACCGTTAGGAAATTTCTCCTTAGTTTTAGATTGCTTCTCTCCTTGTTTGGTTTCTTATCTTCCTAAAGGAAGGGGCCATGATGTGCAAAGCTGTGTCATCTGCCCAATGTAGAATTAAGCCCCTGGTTCACGTTCTCTTGACACCAAAATCCTTTCAGTCAACCACTGGGATCAACTGGAAGTGAGTTTAAATTAAAAAGTCCTGCATGTTCTGTGCAAAGGGCGTGAAAGGCACTGAAGAAAAGCTTGTTCAGTAATTTTATAGGAAAGGACCCCCCTCAGAATCACAACATGAATCTGTCGCTATCTATTCAATGAAAAGACGTGTTCTCTATGTTTAGTTTAAACTGACTGAGGGAGAAATTTCCTTCCCGACATTTTATAAGCAAATTGCTATTTCCTATGTTTCCACTGTTTGTTTGTTTTTTCTGTAACCTAGCAGCACATAAATATAATTTAGGATTTTATACTGAGTTTTGTAAAATAATTTAAGCTTCAGATTTCTATTGCCTTTTTTTTTTTTACAAGCTATGAACCTGGGCAGGTTGGGATGCCATAGTACTATCTGTATCATTATTTCAGTCCTAGAAAATCAAGGCCCTTAAAGCCTCCAATGACCAGTCCTTGCTTTGCTCAAGTTTCATAAAACCTTCTTATTCCTCACACAAATCATTGGCATCTTTGCACCAAATAGACTTATTGTTGTTTCTCTTTCATGGCTGTTTCAGAAGACAACATTCTTTACTAGTTAGTATCATGAAGACTGTATCTCTTTTATTCTTGTTTTGTACTTGTCTATTTGTTTTTATGCTTGAGGAGCCCTCTGAAGGTATCCGGGATCAAATGATAGAAAGGACCATGAATCCAGTTGTAAAATTACCCCGTAAACTGCATTTTGGTTTTGTTTCCAGGCATAAGCAAAGTACAATTGTCTTTCAGCAGAAATACTACAGGCTTTGCATGACATGCTGTGGCCAATGTCAGAACCTGGGATTCTTCGGCTGCTCCAGAAACCTGACATTTGTTGGGATTGTTGCTGAATACCGCTAACGAAATTGGACTGTGTGTATGTGTGCATGCATGTGTGTTTGATAATACCCTAATATAATATCAGTTTGCAGCAATATAATAAGAAATTAAAATGACTACCAGATTCACTGGCCAGTACTACTTCTAGTTCTCAGTCCTAGTTTTTGGTGCTTGGTCCTAGTGCTATGGGGTCAGAACTCTAGTGTCTGACCTGTCCAGAAAGGCCCACTAGAAGAAATAACTTTATTTAGCTTTCCCCTAACTGTCAAGTCAGAGCTGCAGTGTACCTTCTATAAGTTTCTCATACCGTGATATGTCTGGGGTTATCTCTTTTCTTCTTTGTTTCATTATTTCCCTTAAAAAAAAATAGGCTGTTTTTCAGTCTTCCTTCCTTGTCTTCAAACAGATAGCATTCTTCTAAACTGGGCAAGTTTCAGAAGTGCTGAATGTCATTGTGTCTTGTAGTTTCTCAAAACATCAAGCTTTTAGAGAACAATTTTAGCTGCTAGAATGCATTTTTCACAAATGTGAAAACGCGAGGCTTATGAAAGGAGTGACCTTGTAAATAATGGAATGTGATGTTTAAATACAATTTTGCAGCGGGTTTTAATGAGATACAGTATTGGAAAAAATAACCATTCCTTTTGACCTTGGTTAAATCTAGAAACTATATACTGAATTGGAACAGTGGCTAGAAGCATTACATGTTTTAAACAAATTTAGTCAAGGGTAGGTTTACGTGACCTATCTTGGAAGTCAGATTTATTAGCACAGCACAGCATTGCCACAAACTGGCGATCTAGGCACGCTTGACTGAAAATTCCCATCATCCACAGCTTTCATATTCATTGGCCCTTATTGGGTGGGGAAGGGAGTGCTGCTGGTCCATCACATTAGGAGAGCATGAGACAGGGATAATCTGGGATTTTAAAAAATCCTGTGATTTTATCATGAAAATTCAGTGCTTTTTGTGGTTTATTTTACTATTTGTATTCATGCCTTTATGAATTTCACTTACTTTTTTATTTTTTAAAAAAGTCTATTTATATTGTATGACAAGTATTAAGTATGTGTATTTCACAGTTTCATGCTTTTATAATCACATTCAATTTTGACACTTTAGTTTGACTTAAAAAACCTCCCCAACAATGCACGCGCGCACACACACACACACACACACACACACACACACACACACATATTTTAAATTCTGAGAACTGCAGTGCAATACTGGAAAAATGTATATTTATCATAGAACCAAAAATACAACTCCAGAATCCAAGTTTCTATTTCTCACCATGTTTTCTTCCTTGCTATGTCTAGAGTTATCCCTGCTCCCTTCTCTTTGTGTGATGCCCATGGACAGAGGTCTTTGCAAAGCAAATGAGAAACGGTTCTTCTATAATCAAACTACTGGAAGATGCCGTCCATTCAGCTACACTGGATGTGGTGGGAATGAAAATAATTTTACCTCTAGGAAGGCATGTGTGCAGATGTGTAAGAAAGGTACAGTTGCAAGTTTTGCAGCATGTGGATTGGAATATTCTTTGCTAAAGTATTACTGCAAGATCCAATCTGGGTCAGTCGCTGGGACCAAAGTTTTACTTTCTGAGCTTTTGGACATTTGCTGGAGCCCATCTTCAGGGAACTTCTCTTTACTGGAATATGTATTGGAGTAGAAGACGGAAGTTTCCTGAACATGAACTCCAGCACAAGTCTAAAAGCTAAGAAGACTAAATCTCTGGTCCCAGAGACTGACCCAGATTGGATCTAGCAACATTATCCTGGGACATGTATAGTTGCCTTCATTCGTTAATTATTATTCCTTAGGCTACCCTAATTTTTCATGATTCGGGGCAGATTACAAAATAAAACAATGAAAAATATGAATGTATGAAACTTTTAAAAGAAGAATTTGGCGAAACAACACCAAAATACCACCCAGTTGCTCTATTTACCCATTGTAACCCAACAACTGAGACTCTAGAAAGAGTGCAAAGAAGAGCATTAGGGGACTGAAGGCTATATGAAGAACAGTTGCTGGAACTGGGTATGTCTAGTTTAATGAAAAGAAGGACTAGGGGAGACATGATAGCAGTGTTCCAATATCTCAGGGACTGCCACAAAGAAGAGGGAGTCAAGCTGTTATCCAAAGCACCTGAGGGCAGGACAAGAAGCAACAGGTAGAAACTAATCAAGGAGAGAAGCAACTTAGAACTAAGGAGATTTTTTCTGACAGTTAGAACAATTAATAAGTGGAACAACTTGCCTCCAGAAATTGTGAATGCTCCAACACTGGAAGTTTTTAAGAAAATGTTGGATAACCATTTGTCTGAAGTGGTGTAGGGTTTCCTGCCTAGGCAGGGGGTTGGACTAGAAGACCTTCAAGGTCCCTTCCAACTCTATTATTCTATTCTACTTGAGGGACCAGGCTTTGAGGGCTTGTTTAATTAAGGCCTGTGTAGAGATTATACAAATCTCAGGGAATATTATTCCAGAGGGCAGGGGTCATGACAAAGAAGGGACCCTTCCTGGGTCCCTCCACCCAGAAGACCATGCCTGTGCCTTTCATAAGTAGGCTTTTGGTTTGTTAATCTTCTATTTCTCATAATAGAAGTGTGTAGGTACACTAAAGGCATCAATATCCCTGTCATAATGCTTTCAACTACCTGAACAATTGCTGTATATTGTCAGTCCTAAATTGTGACAGCTGTTTTTTTAATGTTCCCACTTCAAGGAGTTTGTAATATATAATTAGAAAAAAAAAGGAAACAACAAAAGGAAAGGCGTGAAATTGAGATGGAGAGATAAAAAGAGAAAAATATGGCATGCTGTTTAGTACATTTTGTCATTTCTTTTTTTTCCCGCTCCAGGTTTCATTTCAAAGAAGGGACAAAAAGGTGTCAGGAAAATACATCGGAAAAGAAAGAAACAACTAGTCAAGGTGGTGGATGGGGAAATTGTTATTGAAAGGATTTAAGCACTATATAATTAAACCACTCTGAAAATGTTTCATTTGAAGACATCTACTATTCTTGTATTACCCACTTTGTTTAACATTGTGCATATTTATCAAGGTTTCATATAGCAACCTTCACATCATTCTATTCCCTTGGGGATTTGCCAGGCAGAAGAGAAACTTTTTACTGTAAAATTAATGCTGTGACTTTTTTTTTTTTCTATGATTATTACATAGAATTGCAGAATAAAAGGCTGTGATCCGGAGCTAGCTCACTTTATCTTCTTAATCTGACACTATCTAATCACTCTGACTTGTACATGATAAAGGAATTTGCTGAATATACAGCACTGTGACTGCAGATCACTCTGTTTTATTCCCACAAAGTGGTTGATTTGCCTGAAGACTGATTCCTTGCTGTATGGATCCTTGGACAATAGAATACAGTATCTGAATAGAATAGAATAGTAATCCTCGACTTATGACCACAATTGAGCCCAACATTTCTGTTGCTTAGTGAGAAACTTGTTAAGTGAATTTTGACCAATTTTATGACTTCTTGCCACAATTGTTAAGTGAATCACTGCACTTGTTAAATTAGTAACACGGTTGTTAAGTGAATCTGGAATCCCCATTGATTTTGCTTGTCAGAAGGTTGCAAAAGGTGGCCCCAGGGTCATTGCAACTGTCATAAATATGAGTCAGCTGCCAAGCATCTGAATTTTGATCACATGACCATGGGGATGCTGTAATGGTTGTAAGTATGAAAAATGACCATAAAAGTCACTTTTTTCAGTGATGTTGTATAATTTCAAACAATAAATGAACTATTGTAAGTCGAGGACTACCTGTATAATTGGACTCCTTTGGATATACTGTAATCATTGAACCTGTATGACAATAAATACAGTTTAGAATTTTCAACTGATCGAGAAATTTAGGAAAAGAAATTTAGTTCTCATGTCTGCAGAGAAATATTACATCAGCTTATTGCAAATGTAATAAATCTTGAAAATAAGGCGGACGGTGGTTTGTTACAAAAATATACAAGAAGAAATGAATAAGAAGTGCTTTCCAAGTCACAAAAGCCACTAAGAAACAAGTTAAATAAGACTTCAATTTCATTTCTATTTCTATTTTAAAAGCCAAAGTTTTAAATAAACACAAGGTTTAGCACAGCAGTGTAAAAATCTGGATTCAGTGCAAATCCCAAAAGTGCTTTTTCAAGAGGCAACTGGACTTTCTGCTTTTCCTTTGAAGACATTTTGCTTCTCATCCCAAGTTTTTTCAAAGAAAACCCAGGCAGTCCAGTTGCCTCTTGAAAAAGCACCTTTGGAACAACCATGACCTGGATGACTGAGACTCTCCATAGACATTAAGTGCAAATGGGTGCACAACTAGGACCTTCAGAGGTTCTTTAAAGCAGTCGTATCAAGATTGAGTCACTGACTGTTTTGTTGTTGTTTTTTAGTGTAAATATACCGTCAAAAGCTATATATAAAGCCCTGATATTTAGGCATTTGTGTATTTTACTGCAGGTTTTTAAACTCATTGCTTCTTTTTTTAAATAATAAATCAGATTCTTTGTTTTTATATTCTGTAAATATGTAGTACCAAGTTCTATATTTAGTAAATATTTTTGAATTTACTTTATCCCATTATCATATATAAGAATAGTCAAGCTGAACACTGTTTTTTTTTCCAAAAAAAAAAAAAATTATATACATAAATACATAATGTAGGAGACCATACTGTTATGTTTCTTTTTTAGGAGGTCAATGTCTTCAGTTGGTATATAAACCTTCTTTAGTCTTTCTATCAAATCACTGTTTTTAATTAAACTTGGGTTGAATTAGGGAAGGAGGGCACTAACAAATCTTTGCATCCAGGAGGGAATGAAATAGAGCATGCTAAATGATTGTGTATTGAAAAGAAGAAAGAGAACCTGAAAGAAGACTTGAGGATTGGTATTTGTGGGAGATTGTGATAAAATGCTCGTTTGACTCAGAGAAAATGCTGAGGAAAGATATTTGAGTTCTGGGGAGGTTGCAAGTAGGAAACAGAAATTCAAAACAACTTTTTGATTGTATTACTTGAAGTAAAGGGCCTTGGAAGGCCTTCAAGATTCTGTTACAATATCCAAACCACATTAAACTTTGTTTCAAAATTTATAGTAACTTTTGTGTGTTTATTTATTTCAATTTTGAGACTGCCCAACTCCTCAATGACTATGGACAAGCAATTTTAAACAAAACTAAAGTGAGTAGAAGGGAATAAACAATCCCTTTAATCTAAGTCCTAGGAGAAGAACCAGGTTGTTCCAGAAGACAAGTATTACAATCAAGTAACTGTGTCTCCCAGATCCTGCCCAATGATGAACTAGGTATGCCTAGTCTAATGAAAAAAATGACTAGGGGTGATACAATAGCAGTCTTCTGGTATTTGAGGGGCTGCCACAGAGAAGGGTTGATCATTCTCCAAAGCACCTGAGGGCAAGACAAGAAGAGTATCAAAGATAATCCTAGAAAACCCAAATTCCTAGAATAAAGGAGAAATTTCCTGACCGAACCATGAATCAGTTGAACAACTTACCTTTGGAAATTGGAGTTGGTCCATCACTGAAGATTTTCAAGAAGAGACTGGACAGTTATTTGTCCAGAATGACATAGGGGGTTGGACTAGAAGACATCCAAGACCTTCCTTACAATTCTCTTATAGAATATCCTACATAGAACGTTGTATGTTGTTTAGTAAATGGGACCTGGCATGCCCCCACCCTGCTTGATCTGACCAGACATGCATAAACATTTGTAGATAAGCAGTCCACTATCACTTCCCATTATCTTGATACTGTACCTCTATGGATGCATCCCAAGATTGTACCGCTTCCTTTAGCAGCTGCATGCCCCCTGATAAAACTGCAGCACAGATTAAACTGATATTTAATCTGCAATCTACCCAGACACAAGACTCTTGCATATACTACTGCTGACTTCAATAACACCAAGGTTGTACATGTGCATCTGCTTTTTTTCTACTTAAGTGGAGAACTTTATGTTTCTTATGTTTAAACTGTATAGTTTGAGATAGGATCCATGTCTATCAAAAGGTTTTTTTGAACCTTTGTCTTTATCGGGAATTTTTAATTTGAAAACCCTGCTTTTTTAATACACACACATACACACACACACACCACACACTTAAAAGAAACATTTTAAATACTGTTAAAAATTAAAAACTTCAAACACTGCCTAGACCAGATGTTTTTGGTTAAGATTCAGTTCAAAGTTGAGGGGGGGAAAGCCAAATGGATATTTCTTATATCAGAACTCCCTCTGCTGTTTGAAGATAAAAGTAAAAATATAAAACCATGCAAACTTTTTGAAATTTGTTTCGTAATGTATGTTTGAATAAGACAATAAGCTAATACCTTAAAACAATTGTCTCCAGGTGGATATTGCTCAGAGACAGCAATACATAGTGGCAGGGTGTAAGATGCAGGCAGGAACAGTATACATTGAATAGCACAACCACATAAGTGGCATTTGTATAGTAACATCTACATAGTATATGGGCTAAACCCATGATGGCAAACCTATGGCACAGCCATATCTGTGGGCACGCAAGTGTTGCCTAGTTCAGCTCTAGCACATGTGTGTGCTGGCCAGCTGATTTTCGGGTCTTCTGGGCCCACTGGAAGTCGGAAAATGGGCCATTTCCGACCTTCAGAGGGCCTCTGGGGGATGGGAAAGGCCGATTTTGCCCTCCCCAGGCTCCTAGAAAGCCTCTGGAGCCTGGGGAGGGCGAAAAAGGGGCCTACCTGGCCCACTGTGCCATTGCGTACCAAAAGTGGAGGGAGTGCGGGGGGGCATGCGCGCATGCACAGGGGGCGGGGCACATAGAATTATGGATGTGGGTATGTGCGTGCATGTCCCCCACACTTCCCCCACTTTTGGCACTTGATGGCAAAAAGGTCATCACTGGGCTAGACCCTCCTAATGAGGGATCCCACAGAAGATCATGGAGAATAAGAGGACTAAGATCCTGGGAGACTTCCGGATCTAGATGGACAGACATGGACTAGCCAGTCAATCAAACATTGTGACAATATATAAGGACCAAAGACAGCAGTGGTGATAGAAAGCATATGAGAAGCTGGAGAAGTACTAGGGGCTAAAGGAAAATAAAAGCCAAAGTGGTCCCAGTGGTGGTAGGAACACTTCTCTCATTCCTAAACTGGTAGAGTGGCTCCAACAGATTCCAGGAACAACATCAAGTTCTCTGTTCAGAAAAGTGGAGTAGTAGGAACAGCTAAGATATTATGCAGAGCCCTTAACCTCCCAGGCATCCGACAGAGGATTTGATTGAGGAAAACACAGACCACCCATAAAGATGAGAAGGGAATCCATACATAAATGGAATGCTCTCTCTCTCTGAGATCCCAGTGCCAATAATGTTAAAAGGGAAAGGGCTACGTCTTCATTAAGGCTGCTTAACTGTTAAAACTATGGGTGGGAGATGGGACGACTGATATATATCTAGAAGAAAGACTGTTTCCTTCAGATTGCTGATAAATTACATAGGGTGGACAATCAGATATTTTTCATCATATGATGACTGATAACTCTATGACTCATTGTATCACATTGCAGACAATATTAGTACCCATCTCTCATTCCTCCATTTGAACTGTAAGGCGAATGGTGAATTATTGATCTTTCCCATATCTTGCAAAAATATTTGGTGAGTACTGATCTATAACAATATACATGTGTACTTAATACTTACCATAATTGTGCTAACATATCAAAAGGATATTTCTTTTGAAATTTCAATATTTGTTAGAAGTTGCTGTAGAGGGAAAAATCTCATTGGAAGGATGGCTTGGGAAGTTATTCAGAGTAGGAAAATTAGGTTGGGAGAGCAAATAAAACTGATGGACCTCCCTTGCTTTGCCAAGTAAATGAGGTAATAAATAGATTGTCAACTATTGGCTATTGTTTATGGCAGATTAATATACAGAAAATTAAATAACTTTTAAAAAAATAATATGTCCCACTCTCCTCATTCCTCCAGCACTTTAAACAGTAAAACTGTTTTGAAAGAGTACTGCAATTTCAGGAAGCTAAAGATACTTGGTTAAAACTTAGTATGCAAAGAGTATAAATATTCATCATTGCGGAATTCAGTGTTGGACTGTTACAATTCCAGTTACACATGGGCAAGCCTGTTTCTCCAGAGGGATCTTAGAATATCTGTCCTGTAGTAATGCAAAAGGCAATTATTATGCTTTGCCCAGAAGAAAGTTTTTCTTAATTTGGAGAATGTCAGTAAAGAGAGATAATTGGCTGTTTCCCAAAAGCCCTTTGTCACCCAAGTCCTATTTCTCTGTGACAAGCTACTTACTGCCTGAAGTTCAGTGTCATTAAATCTTTGAAGAAGAGTGCATTTGGCAAGGTCATAGCCCAAGAATCGTAGAAACTCTAATGATAGCTGATAAGTCATTTGTTTTTGTTCTATGACATCGTTCAAGCTTAAGGAGCATTCACTGGTCATTATTAATGGGGGTAGTCCTGAGGAGAAGAACTGTACTTTCTGTCAACAATTTAATATCAGTCTCCATGCCCTAACTTCAATTTTACAGATCCGTTTTTAACCTGACCAGAGTATTGGAAATGTCTCTTGGTACTACAATTGTAGATAACAGAAATTTAATTTGGGGCACTATAGAGATATTAGTCCTAGCCAGGGGTGGGTTCTACTTACCTTTACTACCGGTTCGCATGTGCGCGCACTCTTCTGCGCATGCATAGAAGCGTCTGCTCATGCACAGAAGCATTTTGATGATGTTGGGGTCGGTGGGCGGAGCCTCCTGCCAGTTTTACTACTGGTTCTTTAGAACCGGTGCAAACCGGGGGCAACCCGCTACTGGTCTGACCTGGTTTAGAAATATTTGCAGCCTCCTCTCCCTGCGTATACCAGATGCCATCTGCTGGTATGTCCATCCTCTAGTTCTTGTCTTGATTTGTCACATTCTAGATTTATCCATACTGCCTAGTTGCCCCATTACCAGAACACATTGGCATCTATTTATGGAGGGCAGGAACAAATGATGTTGCCTTCTTTTAAACTTCTGTTTACTTTCAAGCCTTGTAAATAGAAGATTGTGGTTTTGGAATCTGCCAGATCCCAATCAACTAGGGTAAAAGGGACTTACTTGTTGTGGCCTGCCAGTGGCCTGTGCAGCTGGTAGCTGATTCCGGCAGCGAGGAGGCTGGTGTGGTGATTCACCAGCAACTTGTGCAGCTGGCACCCTAGTCAGACAATGAGGAGACTGGAGAAGATTGGGTGTCAGAGGTGGGGATTCAGCCAGGGCCTTCAGAACCTCCAGAAGCTCCCATAAGTGAAGAAGAAGAAGAGGAGGCGTCTCTTCTCAATGCACGGGCGCGCAGAGCTGCCAAAAAGCAGGAATGGCTCCTCAGGAGGAGGTTTCCTCGAGAGTAAGGCTTGGGCTAATTGGCCACTCCCCTAGCCTATTTAAGGAATGATGACGACTGAGGCAATTTGCAGAAAACAACTTCGTTCATATTCCTTCGCGTATTGACTCCAGAAACGTCTGATCAGCTCTTGCTTCTCTCTTGTCATTTTTCCTGCAAATTGCTTCTGGGCATTCTGCCAACCACAGTAAGCTTACAGTTATCTGAAAGATTTTGCCTCAGAATTGAGTTATTATTCCTTGGACTCTTTTTGGCTGTTAATGAAGTTAAATTAACAGCCCTTTTTCAGAAAAGACTGATTTAAACTGTACTTGTGTTTGAACAACTACTAAGAAAGCTCATTAGTAGTCCTTAATTAGTAAACTAAGGTTCGTAAGAACTTTGTGTGTGCTGCGTTCTTTGTGGTCCATAGCTGGGGCAGAACATTACCCTCAGTTCCCAAATAGCCATTAGAGCTTTACAGGCCAAGAGTTATAGCATTTTTGCAATTGTAGCACTCGTGGTAAAGGTAGCTCTAAAAAAAAAAACCCCAGAAAAGCAATAGGAGAGCTTTTTTAAAAAAAGTTGTGCATGCATTTTGAAGCTTTAACCATATATAAATTTAATGTGTGTGTGTGTAAGAGAGAGGAGAGGAGAGGAGAGGAGAGGAGAGGAGGACGCACAGATAAAATTATATGTATATGAGATTATCAGTTCACAGGAAGAAAAATGTTTGGCTATTACTTTCTTAAAACAGAAACTATGCAATGGTATCCTACAGTCCAGAATAAATAACTTGCAAGCTGATATCAAAATGTCTCAGTCCAGTCCAGACCAGGCAGAATTTTATGAAGTCAGCTTAGAATCAAACTGGTATGAGCACAGACCAGGAACAGCTTAAACAATTAGTGCAAATATTCCTTCTGTCATCTCTACATTATGAAACTATGATGCCCATTCTATATTTTGGTTGATCTTGGATTTTCTGTTCAGTGTCTCCTATCTGTCAGGAGCCTTCCTGTCTGGGTTCATATCTTATTTGTGTCACCTCTATGGCCATCATTTGAAGCTGCCAGCCTGAGTTTTTGCAATGGGCATTGAAGCACCTCACCTTCAAAACCAAGGGAACTTTGCTGCCAATTGCAGGTCCTTCCACCCACAGGGTGTACACTCAAGAATGCTAACTGCTTCTCCTTCTACCCACAAGGTGCATGCTCAAGAAATGCCTGATGGTTAGTAGTGGCTGAAAAAGTCACAAGATGAAGTCAATATAGTGCCTTCCCTTTCAATGTTATGGCTGCTAATCAAGATTACACCCTGTGATATTGAACTTAATGGACTGAAGCTCTGGGAGAAATTTGCTTCATATATAGATGAATCTCTGTAATAACACAAATGATAGATTTAACATTTAATCTGTTTTTTCAACATAGTTATTTGTTGGAAGCTACAGCAAGACTTAACCAGTTTTCATCAAGTTTTCAAGATCAAGGGATAAGCAGGTTCTTAAAACAGTTTTCATAAAAATATTTTGAACTACATTTCACATGTAAACAGTTTTAAGTCTATTAAATCACGGGAACAAGAAGAAAGAGATTTGGGGTACATGCTCAAAGTTTATTTATTACAATAGCTGAGGCACAGCTCTATAAAATAGAGATAATTGTAGTTTTCCCCAATTCTCCATCTCTTTCTGTATTTTTTGCCATAACAATTCAGAATTATTTTTATATAATTTTACATTTGAGGCTGTAATATATACCCCTAAATATTTAACCTTTTTTACTATTTCAAATCCTGTTAGTCTTTCTAGTTTTTCTTTTTGCTTTACCATCATGTTTTTAGTTATTATCTTTGTTTTTTGTTTATTTATTTTAAATCCAGACATTTGTCCATATTGGCTAATTATATCCATTAAACCTATAGCTGATTGTACTGGTTGAGTTAAAGTAACAACCAAGTCATCTGCAAATGCTCTTAATCTATAATCATGATGTCTAATTTTAATTCCCTTTATTTTATTTGACCCTCGTATTTTATTCAATAAAGATTCCAAAGTTAAAATAAACAATAATGGTGATAAAGGGCATCCCTGTCTTGTTCCTTTTTCAATTTTAAAAGTTTCTGTTAAACCACCATTAATTATTATTTGTGCTGTTTGTCTCTGATATATTGCTCTAATAGATTGTGTAAAGTATTCTCCAAACTGCATCTTTTCTATTATTTTCAATAAAAATTGCCAATTCAATCGATCAAATGCCTTCTCCGCATCCAAAAAGATAAGCACTGCAGGGACTTGGTTGTTCCTTTCCAGATATTCCAATAAGTTTACAATTTGTCTTACATTACATTTCATTTGTCTCCCACTTATAAATCCAGATTGGTCATTATGAATCATTTGTTGCATGATTACCATTAAACTATTTGCTAATATTTTAGCAAAAATCTTATAGTCAGTATTTAAAAGCGATATTGGCCTATAATTCTTAGGTTGGCTACGATCTTGGTCCTCCTTTGGAATCAATGAAATAAAAGCTGTTCTCCAGGAAGGGGGTACATCTCCTCCGGCTTGAATCTTACAAAATAGTTCCTTAAGCGGTTCTACCATTTCTAACTGCAAATTTTTATAATAAACAGCTGTCAGTCCATCTGTGCCTGGAGCTTTACCCCCGTTTAACTGTTTAATTGCTAAAATAATTTCTTCCGAAATTATTGGTTGGTTCAGTCCTTCCCTTTGCTCTGGTGTAATTACAGGGATATTCTCTTCCTGTAAATATCTGTCTATGTCTTTGCCTTGAATTGTATCACTAGCATATAACTTTGTATAGAATTCTAAAAAAGCTTTTTTAATCATATTTTGTTGATATACCTCTTTACCTTTGTATTCTATTTTTTCTATAGTACGTAGCTTTTGTTTTTTCCTTAACAAGTAGGCTAACCATCTATCTGGTTTATTTGCATTACAAAAAGTGTTATGTTTAGCGTATTGTAAGTTAGTTGCCACTTTGTCTGCCATCAACATATTAAACTGCCCTCGCAACAAATTTATTGTTTCCTTTATTTTCTTATCTGTTGGATTTAATATAAGTGCTTGCTCTTTCTTTTTTATTTCCTCTTCTAAGTCCCTCCGTTTCTTTTCTTGTCTACGTCTATATTTATTATTCAAATGTATTAAGATTCCTCTCATATATGCTTTACTTGCATCCCAAACCATTTCCATAGGTGTACCCTTGTGCATATTCATAACAAAAAATTCTTTCATTTGTTTTTTACATTCTTTCACATTTTCCTCATATCTAAACAAATTTTCATTTAGCCTCCAAGACCTTCTAGCTCCCTTTTCCTGCTCTAATCCCATCCACACCGGACTATGATCAGATAAAATTCTTGAACATATCTTCGTCTTCTTTACCCTAGAAAAAAAATCATTAGTGATTAATATAAAATCAATCCTAGAAAAGGATTGATGTCTATCAGAAAAAAAAGTAAAATCCTTTTCTTCAACATTTCGTTCCCGCCAGATATCTCTCAGCTCCATATCATCCATTATATCAAAAAAAGATTTGGGCAATCTTGCACGATTTTGGGTATTTTGAAGTTATCCTTTTTTGTCCTTTTGGGTATCCAATACTCCATTCCAATCACCCATTAATATACACGATTTATAATCCCATTGTATTATTTTGATATGCAAAAGCTTATAATTTTTTTCTTGCTGTTGGTTAGGAGCATCCAATTAAAAGTGTTTTCTTCCCTTCCATTAGTAATTCAATTGCAATATATCTTCCTTGAGCATCTGCCTCAATTAATTTGGCTGTTAAATCTGTCTTTAGGTATATAACTATACCTTTTTTCTTCTCTGGAGCAGATGCAACAAAATGTGTCCCCAATCTTGAATTTATCAAATATTTTTGATCTGTCACTCTAATATGTGTTTCTTGTAGGCAAATTACATCATTTTTAAACTGTTTCAAATAATGAAATATTTTCTTTCTCTTTTGTGGTGAATTTAAACCATTGACATTCCAAGTCAAAAATTTAGTTACCATTCTTGGCACCTTGAAGCTTTAAGAATGCCAGCTGAAGATCCTCCTGCACCTTTCTCTTCGGCCTTGCTCCTCCCACTGCTTCTGTTTTTGTAGCTTCTTGAGCTTTCATTTGGGTTTGCTGTATCTTTAAATCTTGTTCTTTTTGCCTTGCTATAGCACGAGTCTGCCTTTGATCTTTTGGTTCTTCTCTTTTTTCTGCTACTTCCAAAGGTTGATCAGTACCAAAAAATTGCAATAAATCTTCTTCAATAAGCGAGGTCTCTCCTGCAGCTTGTGGCTGTTTATTTTCCTTCTGTCCCTGTATTGCCAGCTCTTCTTTTCTTTTTCTCATTTCCTGAGATGGTGGGCATCCAGCCTTCAATATGTTAGTATAAAAATCTCTTGCCTTCCAAATTGTATTAAGACGATACCTTTCTCCCATATAATTCACCACCAGTCCAGCTGGAACATCCCATCTAAACTGAATCTGTCGATTTCTAAGTTCATCCACCAAAAAAAGCAAACTCCTTTCTGCTTCTCACCATTTTGGGGGGAATTTCTTTTAGCACTAAAACCTCTTGTCCTGCAATTTGAAGTTTATTTTTATAAAAAGCTTGTAAAATTTCATTTCGGGTCCTCCTCGTTGTAAAGTAAATCACAGTGTCTCTTGGCAATTGATTCTGTCTAGCAAACCAGGAATTAACACAATATATTTTGTCAATTTGCAATGAGAGATCTGCTTGTTGCTCCCCAGTTATCTTTGCAAAAGCCTCTGCAAAGATCTCTCTCAAGTTCTCTCGATTGTGTTCTCTCAGACCTCTTACTCTCAGGGCAAATTCCATCGCTCTATATTGTAGCATCACCACTTCATCGTCTGCCTTGGTCTGAACTTCATCCATTTTATTTTCCAAATTCAGATTAGACTGATTAATTTCTTTTATTCTTTCATCCAACAATTCAATGTGTTTTGCCAGACTCTGAAATGCCATTACTATATCTTCTCTTATTTCCTTATTCCGAGTTTGAATGACTTCTTTAATTTCAGCCATCTCTTCAGACATTCCCTTAATTTTCCCCTCTAAAAAAGAAGTTTGTTGCTTCAAAGCCTCCTGCAGAGATTCCTGTAAAACTTCCAAAGTCAATATTAGTGGGTTTGAAGTAGACAAAGATTGTAGTTTTGATGGTTGTGCTGGCAATCCTCCAGCACTTTTAAAGCCAGATTTTATTTGCTTAGAAGCCATTTTTAGCTTTCAATTTATACTTCCTACAGCAACCAAATCAATAAGTCTAAATGTTTTTAAATCTTTTGTAAGTATTATAGTTTATTTAAAGTCCAAACTGTAGTCTTTCCACTTTAAATCTTTCTTTCTTTGGTGTAGAATCCAATAATCTTAAACAGCCTTAGAAGCGCTAACAATGTTAACTATCACTTTCACTATAACTTTCACTTTCATGCCCTGTTACAGTTCAGGCGCCATTTTTGCTTTCGTTTTTAAAAGTCTTAGAAGGAAGAAGTATAGACACAGAGTTAAAGTTCAGTACTTGCAGTTGCTAGGACTCCTGTTTTTGTTCTGCTTGCTTTGAGATTATTTTGAATCTGAATGTTGATTGCAGGGGTGGTCACGGCGTCTTGTTGTGCTTTAAGCAGAGAAGTCCCGGATTCGGAGCTCAGTCGGACTACCAGGGAGCTCTCACCTTCCAAGCCCCAGAATTGCTCCTAGGGCTTTTGGGGAGCTCTACCTTTGTCCAGCTGCTTGCCTTCCTCTCTTCTCCCAAGGGGAAGGTTTCCAAACCGCCAGACAGCTGATTTGTGCTGTCTTAGCAGTTTTAACGAAATCGCAGGGCTGACAATCCAAAAGGAGCATCTGTCAGCGCCTATGGTGCCACCGGAAGTCCAATAATATTACTCTTCATGTTTACAGATTCTGTCCTGAAGAAGTTAGGAAACAAATTTGGAACTCAGGTATTTAATAGAGAAATTTCCGTTCCTCACGGAGATTTCTTTTATTCTATTGTGTACTTTAGAGTAAGTTGAATGGTACGTTTAATAGCAGATCTTGTCCTATCTTTTTTTTAATCCTCATGTTCTTATTTAAGCATTTCCATCTAAGACAGGAAATGAAAACAGAGGAAATTATGATGAAAGCACAGTTTGAATGTTACCAGAAATTTATACAAGTTCCTGTGCATGAGAATACAGGTAAAAGAGTACTCTTGCTATGTTACCAATATGAATATAATTTTAATTGATAAAAGTCGAAGCAAGAATCTGTATAGCTTCTTTAAATCTTTGGCTAAAGCTTATTTTTTTCCCACAAGGCCTTGCGCCATTAATCCTCCAAGACAAATTATCCTCTTCATCGAGGGGGGTGGGGCTTCCTTCTTGATGATTCCATGATTAAGGAATTGCTTCTTCCTAAATTTTCGATTTCTGCCCCAAACCCACAACCAACTCTTTCATCGACAGCCAGACAACTGCCTCTGTTTTGACCTCCTTGACAGAGACGCTCAACTGATGAAATTAAAACAGACATTAAGAAAACTGAACTACTCACACAACAAGATCAACATACAAATCAATAGAACCAGATCAATTACCAGAGAAAGCCTATTATAAGACAAACCACATATTTGTGCTGGCATCTAGGCCAAGTAACTTATTAATTAAAAATTATAACACGGAGTAATTCCCATATGCACCAAAAGGTTTCAGTTTATTTCAGAAAATCTCAACAAATACAATAGGTTAACAAATTTAATTTAAATCTTATATCAGTTTAGATAATCTAGACTCTTAATAGGTATACATAACAGAATAAAAGAGTTGGAAGGAACTTTGGAGATCTTCTGCTCCAACCCCTGCTCAAGCAGGAGATGCTATACCAGGGGTGTCAAGCTTGCATTGTCACCTGTTCGTCACATGACGTATTGCAACTTTCCCCCCCCCCCTTCACTAAACTGGAGGTGGGGGTGGCCAGCACATGACGCATCCAGCCTGCGGGCCATGAGTTTGACATCCCTACTCTATACCGTTCCGGATAAATGGCTGTCCAATCTCTTCTTAAAAACCTCCACTGTTGGAGCAACCACAACTTCTGGAGGCAAATTGTTCCACAGTCTCGCATGTAAACTGCATCTGCCTAACCAACCTGTTCACTTCTCCTTCACCCACTCCATCTCATTCTAATTTAAATCCTATATTAGTTCAGCCACTGTATGCATCTGATTTTTTAAAATAAAAAGTAATTTGTTATAAAAGATTTTTATTAAAGAATTTCATAAAAGATAAAAACTTATACAAGCTAATACAAAGTTTGAAAAAAGAAAAAGAAAGAAGAAAATCAGAGAAAAATCTAAAAGTTTTTTCTTTTAGAAAAAGGAAAAAAGAAAAAGAAAAATAGAAAAGAAAGAAAAAAGATACAAAAACTAGCTTCTGATCTTCATTACAGCAGTTATAACCAGTGGTGGGATTCAAGTAGTTTAACAACCGGTTCTCTGCCCTAATGATTTCTTCCAACAACCAGTTCACCAAACTGCTCAGAAAGTTAACAACCGGTTCTTCCGAAGTGGTGAAAACTGGCTGAATCCCACCACTGGTTATAACTATTGTTATAAATTTACCTCTTATTCTATGGTTACAACATAACTCCCTTCTTTCTATAATCTATCCTCTCTGATCATTCTGTGGAAAACTGATATGAACAAGAACAAATGTATTATAGATTAAAAACTGAACATATTTCTCTTTAATTTTTAGGTTCTTACTGCAATAGAACATGGGATGGCTGGTTATGCTGGGATGACACTCCTGCAGGAGAAACAGCCACACAGAATTGTCCACCTTATTTTCAGGATTTTGACTATCTGGGTAAATAATTACCGTTCTTTGTTCTCTGGCACTGTAAAGATTAAGGCATAAATTAGCAGATGGACAGTCTGCCTCATGAGAACCCCAAGCAGAATTCCTATCTGCTCACATTTTTCCAAACCTTCAAAAGATCATTAATGCTCTTCCCACTTTCCCATTTTTCCAGGGAATAGTGAGTGGCTTCTGATTTCCCTATTAAATTTCTTATTAAAATTCCTATTAAATCAGTGGTAGGCTGAATTGAGAAATTTGAACCATACCTGTCATTTGGATTCCCCATGTTGGCTTTCTTTTCCTCATTTTGCTTACCAGTCACAGCATTTATTAACAAAAGTTGCCTGTACAGAAGACTCAAAAGAGAAGCATTAGAAATGATGCTTTGATGGCAGAGTTCTCAAACTTATTCCTAAGAATTAAAAACAGTGTCTTCCTTGGCTAATTACAAAAAGCTAAGAAGAATTGGATTTGATGAACTGGGTTGCTTTTGATAAGACCATGCAGATAAAAGACAATCAGAAAAAAAAATGGAAGTATAATGGCATGGCACATATAAAGAGCTTATCAAATCCAGGCAATTCTTTAAAATAGTACCTTTATATCAGGGCTGGGTTCTACTTACCTTTACTACCAGTTCACAACGGGATCATGCACACAACCATAAAAAAATGAAGAAATAAAAAAAGGTTTAAACAAAGTGAAACTAAAATAGAACAATAAAGTAACTAAGGAAAAAGAAAAACCCCAAAAGATATATCAATAAGATTAATAAAAAAGGAGTGCAGAGCAGAGAGTGGGGGGGGGGAGGTGGAGTGATATCTAGCAGCCACATTCAGAGTCAGATTCCCCCATTGGGTCCCCAGGCCAACTTGCAAAGCCAGGCTTTACACTCTTGCAGAAAAATAGGAGGTTGGGGGAAAATCTTACCCTGGAGGGCAGGAAGTTCCAAAGTGCGGGAGAAGTTTCTTCTTCTGGATCCTGACAGTCAGAGTTATTTGACTGATAGGATATGAAGTAGGCCTTCTCTGCCAGCCTGAGTAGGACAGGTTAGACTTAGTGGGACAGTGCAATTCATCAAGTAGCATGGATCTACAGTATGAAATAAGGCAAGTTGTCCTTCAGCGAGTTGGCCATAATGAATTGTCCCATGGTGAATTGTCTGTGATGAGTTGGCTACAGTAAGTTGTCCCATTCCATTCCAAAGAATGCTTTTGCTGCCACACTTTGCACCAATTGAAGCTTCCAAATGGATTTCAAGGGTAGCCCCATGTAGAGCACATTACAGTAGTCCAGATGAGAGAAAACTAAGGCTTGAGTAACTGAGCACAAAGAGTCAAGATCTAGGAAAGGTTGCAGCTGGTGTAAAAACTGGAGCTGTGCAAAAACTCTCCTAGCCATGCCACCTACCTGTTCTTCAAGCAGGAGATGTGAGTCCAGGAGAACCCCCAAGTTGCAAACTGGGTCTGAATGGGAAAGTTCAACCCTGTCCAGAACCAGAGATGACAAAACCCTGGATGCAGCCAAAGCCATTCAGCCTTACCCATGTTCAGTTAAGTCCATTGTCCCCAATCCAGGACCCCACAGCATCCAGACATTTTGAGAGAACAGAGATAGCATCGCTTAGGTCACCCATGGTTGAAGGTATTGAAGGTCGCTGAGAGGTCAAAAAGGGTGAGAATGGCTGCACCACCTCCATCTCACTCTCACCAGAGATCATCCATAAGTGCAACCAAGTCTGTCTCTGTCCCATAGCCAGGCCTGAATCTAGATTGAAAAAGGTCCAGGAAATACACTTATACACTTGGACCTCACCAAATGGACTTCACCATAACCAGATTGACTATGTTCTATGCAGTCATCAATCAACCAGCTCAGTCCTTGCTTTTAAGATATATCAAAGGGCTGATTGTAGTTCAGATCATGAAGTGTTGGTGGCAGAGATTAAAGTCGAATTATGCATCACCAAAAAGGCAATGTCTCCAAAGATGTTTGATGCAACTAAAATCCCTACTACATATACAATAGAGATGAAAAATAAATTTGAACTACTGGACACTGCTGAAAAGATGCCTGGTGAATTGTGACAAGAAGTTCAATCAACCATTATTGGAATTGCAGAAGAACACATTCCTCAGAGAAACCAGAGAAAAAGTACAAGTGGCTCTCAGATGAAACCATCAAAATAGCTGAGCAAAGAAAAGCAGCCAAAGCAGCAGGCAAATGGGAAGACGTAAGAAAACTGAATGAAACTTTCCAAAAGACAGCAAGGAAGGATAATGAAATTTACTGGGATGAGCAATGTAAACATCTTGAAGGACTAGAGGTGACATGATAGCAGTGCTCTAATATCTAAAGGGCTGCCACAAAAAACAGAGGGTCAATCTATTTTTCCAAAGCACCTGAAGGCAGAACAAGAAGCAATTCATGGAAACTAATCAAGGAGAGAAACAATTTAGAAATAAGGAGAGATTTCCTGACAGAACAATAAATCAGTGAATTTATTGTTGTGGATCACTGTAGGTTTTTAAGAAGAGATTGGGCAGCCATTTGTCTGAAATAATATAAGGTCTCCTGCTTGAGCAGATGGTTAGACTAGAAGGCCTCCAAGATCTCTTGCACCTCTGTTGTTCTGTTATAAATGTAGCCCACTTGCTGATGCTTGCCAGAGTGCAGGCTCAATCCCAATACCCATTGTTGGCTCAAATGCTCATATCCACATGTATATGACCAGAGTCAAATTACACCCTTGCCCTCCCCTATGTTCAAAAACAACAAAAAGTTATTTTGAAACAGAGAGTTCAGATGAATTTTGATGTAATCTGTATTGAGAGAAACAAGGGGTGGCCATAATTTCTTATAACCTTTAATTAAAATTTAGGACCTTCAAGAATCAGAAAAATTCTGAAGAATCTAAGGGTAGAAGGTAGGTTTTTCACTATTTAATTCTACTTGAACAATACTTAAAAATATTGTTCTGTGACAGAAAGGAGTATTGTTTGTATTGGTTTTTTTAGACAATGCTTGTGGTGATTTTATTTTTTTTCTCAACAAGAAAAAGCATTTAAAATCTGTGAAGAAAATGGACATTGGTTTGTACACCCCGAGAGCAAGAGACAATGGACAAATTACACCCTCTGCTCTGGAAATTACCAGGATGTGAAGGTAAGAGAAGTGTAAATAGAACTGGCCTTGAGGAAGAGATCCTATGGGCAATGCACCAAGCAACAAGACTCCAGATGTTAATACTATCCTTGCAGAATTACTGAGAACTGTAGGCATTGAATCCTCTAAGATGTACACTTTATTTTTCCATTTTGTTCTACTGTCTGAAATGAATGAATTTATTTATTTATTTATTTGTTTGTTTGCTTGCTTGCTTGCTTGCTTGCTTGCTTATATTCTGACCTGCGGCACACACACACACACCCCAGAAGCAGTGGTGGGTTCCTCCCGGTTCAGCCTGGTTCTGCCGAGCTGGTAGCAGTGACGATATGATGTCACCGAACCGGTTCTGCCCCCCCACTGCCCCCCCACGTTATTATCTTTTATTTGGCCCCACCCCCAATCTATTGCTGACTCCTGAGTCCCAGCTGATGGGCTATAAGGAAAAAAACTGTTTAAACTCTTGCTGTGGGGCTTCAAAGGGCCGCCCTACAGCTGATCAGTGGTAAAAGGCAGTGTGGTGGTAGACCGGTGCCTCCAAAAACAAATGAGTAGACAGGTGCCTGCAAAAATAAATGGGTAGACCAATGTCTGCAAAAATACATGAGTAGACCAGTGCCTGCAAAAATACATGAGTAGACTGGTATAGCTCTGCAAGCAGTTAAAAGCCTGGTAGACCAGTACCTCTGCTAAATTCTAAAGAATTGTCACATGACCATCAAGCCATACCCACAAAATAAGCCACACCCACAGAACCAGTAGTAAAAAATTTTAGAACCCACCCCTGCCCAGAAGCCAACTATACCACAAGCTCTAAGCATAGAACAGAGCTGTCAAACTGCTCACCCATGGGCTGGATGCATCATGCACAAGCCACACACACCCCAGCACTGCAAAGGGGGAAAACGTCACAAAATGTCATGTGACAGCAACGTGACGTGGCAAGTTTGACACCTGTGGCATAGAGTTCATGCCAGCATTATAACTAATACAAAGAGCCCCAATTTTCAGTCCTCCATCATACTTTCCTATATAAAATAACTGTTATCTAGGATTTATTCACAAACTTAGCAACAGTAAATATGAAAATCTTCTTTTATACAGCCCTTTTCTTCTACTAGCACTGGATTTATTTGGGTCTAATTCCGTTCAGATTCTACTTGTATTTGAAATGTTTTAATCTTTGATCAGCCGTTTGCATGTTTAAAAAATTGTTTCTTTTTTCTATTCCCTTTATCTGGCAGGGTAAAAAGGGCATCTTTCAACCAATACAATGAAGTTTCAGTCCACATAACAGCAGGAAAGAAATTATTCCTAATTCTTCATAGATGTTATGTAGCAATTCAGATGCCTTCCAGAATTTAGCAGAGCTACTGTCCTGGAAGCTGGATAATATATTCATCATTTAGAATGTAATAGAAGGAACAGGGGAGATTGCTTCCAATTTATCTTTTAGTATCCAAATGATCAGATATGGTGACCTCAGATTGTAATTTGTGGCAAAATTGCTCTCATTTTTATATTCTCTCATGAAGGTTTGCAAAGAACATTTTAGTGGAGCTTGTTCTTTTGTAGCCATAGATTCAGGACACATAGAAACAAATACAAGTGTAAAATCTTTATTGTTCACTTTTCTGAATTACAGTCTTAGCCCACTCACGTACACATACCACTAATGCATACTTGTCCAACTCAAAGTCTAGCTGGCAAGACCATTTGAATCTTAGAAAGCTTCAGGCTGGACATCCATCAGAAAACATACCTGATTATATGTAATGACTCCAGAATCCTACACTTCTCATTGATTTTGATAATTTTTAACTGGATTTGGCCAGTTCCAGCTTCATAACTTCTTTTACTAATGAGTGCCATTACCTTTAGTTTACATAGCAACTTCTTTTTTTTAGATCCACCTGGTGTTTTGTTGTGTCTTCTTAACTTCTTTTACTCTGTTTGTAAAAACAAACAATTCTCTGGAAAAGACATTTTGAATAATTTACTATAGAAAAATAATTTACACTCATGTTTGTGTTCCTAAATCTTTTCCAATGAACCTAAAGGTTCCCCTCGCACATATGTGCTAGTCATTCCCGACTCTAGGGGGTGGTGCTCATCTCCATTTCAAAGCCAAAGAGCCAGTGCTGTCCGAAGATATCTCTGTGGTCATGTGGCCGGCATGACTATTTGCATTTTTTACGTGCTTTCGAACTGCTAGGTTGGCAGAAGCTGAAACAAGTAACCGGAGCTCACCCCGTTACGTGGCACTGCCGACCTTTTGATTGACAAGCTCAGCGTCTTAGCTACTGAGCCTCCACGTCCCTTTCCAATAAACCTGAGACTCTTCAATGCAGTTAATCTGTTACCAGTAAAAGCTAAATAATACTAAATGGGAGTAATACATTTTTTGCTTTATAGAGAAAAAGGTAAAGGTAAAAAAGTCCCTGCAGATTTGACCCTGTTGCCAACTATAGGTGCAATGCTCATCTCCGTTTCAAGGCCATTGAGCCAGTGCTGTCTGAAGACATTTCCACACTTATGTGGCCAGCATGATGTCATGGAGTGCTGTTCCCATCCCACTATTATCTACTTGTATTTGCATGCTTTCAAACTGCTAGTTTGGCAGAAGTTGGGACAAGAACAGGAGCTCACCCAATACATGATCCTCGGGTCTTGAACCTGGGCTACCGGCTTTCCAGCCGACAAGCCCAGCATCTTTTTTTTTTAAATTTGATTTATATGCCGCCCTTCTCCGGAGACTCAGGGCGGCTTACAATGCATTAAGCAATAGCCTTCATACTTTTGTATATTTATACAAAGTCAGCTTATTGCCCCCACAAACTGGGTCCTCAATTTATCTACCTTAGAAAGGATGGAAGGCTGGGTCAACCTTGAGCCTGGTGAGATTCGAACTTACAGTAATTGCCGACAGCTGGTGTTAATCACAATGCTATCAGTCTGCTGAGCCACCAGGCCCTTAACCAATCTTAACCATTGAGCCATCGCACTGCCTGCTTTTATAGAGAAAGAACTGTAAATTTCAAAAGTCCCTACCAATCCAACCTAGTGGAACAGAATGGGCATGCTGCAGATCAGAAGTGGGTTTCAGCAGGTTTTGACCAGTTCTGGAGAACCGGTAGCGGAAATTTTGAGCAGTTTGAAGAACTGGTAGTAAAAATTCTGACTGGCCACGCCCCCATCTATTCTCTCCCTCCAAAGTCCCAGCTGATTGGGAGGAAATGGGGATTTTGCAGTAACCTTCCCCTGCCACGCCCACCAAGCCACACCCACAGAACTGGTAGTAAAAAATTTTGAAACCCACCACTGCTGCAGATCCCGTCACCCAAAGAATGTCAGAAGACGAGCTTTTACTGCAATGGCCCATGCTCTATGGAATGTCCTCCCTTTGTAGATCAGAACAACCTCACCTTGTTAGTCTTTTGTACACCCCAAGAAAACTGGGCTGTATGTTCCCTTGCCTGGGACGCTGAATGGGTCAAGGGCAAAGTATCTTGCTCCTGGGTATATTTAATTTGATTTAATGTTTTTATTGGTTTTACTGTTTTTACCATTTTAAAAAGTTTTTAATATTTTCAACCGCATTCTATTTTTTTGAATTGTGAGCTATCCAGAGTCATTGATTGAGATGGGCGGCCATAGAAATTGAACAAACAAACATCACATAAATATTGTGATGTAATACCCTTGGACCCTAAATCATGATAATGTACTTATTGTGATAATTATTAGTGGTCAATGTATGTATTACTTTGAGCTTTTGTATTTCATGGAACACTTGCAGCAGGAACTATTGTGCACGACAACAGCTTTCTACATTCAGATTCCATCTCTGTTTCTATGTTTTATTCCAGTCATCTTGGAATGCCTACTACATTGCTATTACTGGCCTTAGCCTTTCCTTTGTTTCGCTGTTGATTTCCCTTGGCATATTCCTCTGCTTTAAGTAAGTATTGTTTTAATTTTCAGCAGTGTGTGATTTACCAATTTGCAAATTTGTATGCAATACAAAGATATATATCTCTCACTCACTCCAAATGAAGAAAAACATGCTATCATCTATAAATGTTGTGGCTCATCGCTGCCAGCCCAGCTAGCTGCAGAGTCAGATGAGGAGGAGGTGGTGGGAGAGCCTGATAAGTAGGGTTGCCAGGTCTGCTTCCAAAAAATAGCGGACGGGGGAGGGGGGAGGTTAAGTAGTAAAAAAAAAATACAATTAAATTATATATTTTCCTACAAACATTTTAACACATATTAAAATAATCACTTCAAAACTTTACTTAAAATTCAAAACATCAAATATATTATAATAATATGTAAAATATTACTTTGCTGTTGTGTGTATTTTTTATTTGACTGCGCAGCTTTGATCAATTATTCTTTAAGGAATAATTCTTTAATTTCAGTACAACGTTGAGAAATATTAAAAAATATACAAAGTTCACTTCGAACTGATGGTACAAGCAGTCGGTTACGTTCGTCAGTCCACAAATTTCTCATGAGGCTGAAAATTCATTCATCGTTTGCATTTGATACCGGAATTGATGGACAATACTGGAACAGTTTCAGTAAACTCGGAGCTGGCTCTTTCTTGAAAAAGTACATCCACTTATCAAGGGATGAGTCACCCTGCAGATGAACATAAACTTCTTCTAAGGCAGAAATTTCATTGAAGAGAGTGTTGGGTGGAAGTTTTTCTCGCCATGGTGATAATAACCAAATGTTCGTCATTTCTTCTAAAGTTGGAGGATTATTGCGATCAATTAGATTGAAACAACTTAGCGTCTCATATACTGAATCGGTGAAATTATACCACTTTTCTAGGTACACAATGGCTCTTTGATACATGTTGATGGCTTCTTTCTTGAACTTTTACACGGCATTCTCAGGCAAATGTTTTTTACGTAAGGCAAATAAAACTTTCATTCCAAAAAATTGCTCATCATATTTTTTTTTGCAAAGAATCACGCAGCTTACACATGATAATGTGAAGATCACATGCAAGAATTTTCTTGCTTTCCAGCTTCAGTAGGGTGTCTTGCCTTATTGACATGAAGAAGTGCGTGAAATATAAATACAATTCTGAAATAGTTGGTTCATCGTCCTTTGCGAGTTCATTTTCCTGATCCGAAATAAGGTTCCAGATAACCTTATGGGACTCATCAGATCCAAGAGAAATAAAATACAATTTTAGAGGTATCCAGTTTAAAAGAAGTCTTTCGACCGCTTTAAACAAACTTAACCAACGTGTTGGAACATGGCGCAAAACTTCATGGAATTCTAACTTGCAAAACTCAAAAAATGATTTCAACTCTTCTCGTTTCTTCGCAGAATTCAAAAATTTGGCAAAAACCTTCAACACTACATTTTCGATATCAAAAGATAACTGCTTTAATGAATTTTTGCGCTGTTGTGTAAAATGTGATTATTGCAATGAGCATTTGATCTTTGTCTCATTCTAATTTATGAAAAAAAAGACAAAACGTGATTCTCCTATCCTTATTCTCTTAGACTGTATAGCTTTAGATTACGTACCATTTCATCATAAAGCTTTTGAATAAAAAAAATGTCCACTATTTTGTGAAAAAAAATAGTGAACATAATGTGAAAAAAGTGGACTGTCCGCTCAAATAGTGGACACCTGGCAACCCTACGATATGGAAACAGCTTCAGAGACAGAGGCAAAGACAGGGCCTTCCACCCTCCCCCAGATGGAGAAGCAGCTGTCTTTGGGGCCTGAGCTGAGTGAGGGAGAGGAACAGATGGGCCCCATCCCAGATGTGTGTATGTGCAGAGAGGAGACGAGAGGAGAGCAAAGGAAAACAATAAGCAATCTCTCAGAGAGAGGCAGACACAGACAATAGCCAGTCCCTCCCTGGTTGGGAAATAAATAGGAGGGGTTGGGGAGTGGCCAGTTGTCGCAGACAACCATTTTTTTCTAGTATAGAGCAAGCAATTTGAATTTCTTGGCTAAACCCAGGTTTGTTTGGGACTAATTACATTTGATTTTTTGTTTATCCATGTGAATAAAAGACTGTTACTGCCCTGTTATAAAAAGGGGCTTGTTTTACTCATGAGTAAATGTCTTATCACTACCTCCAAAGGCTGGGTCAGAACAATAAAGCCTTTCAAGGTATGGGCCACATTATCTGAGGGACCACCTATCTGTTGGATTTATGACAATTTGCCATGGCCAACTCACCATGCCTAACTCACCACAGCCAACTTTCTATGGCCATCTCGCTGCAGGACAAGAGTTACACTAATATCAAAGAATTGATGGAATAGAATCATTAAAGAAAGGATGGAAAAATACCTCAAATAGGTATTGCAAACTGAAGCTGTGTTATTGTCGCAACCTTTTCCAGGTTGTCATGGCTTCATTGTCTCTGTTCTTTCCATGGATCCAAAGCTATGAGAAAAAAAACATGCTAAGACATCGGTGGCATCTGGTTTTCTACTTCTCTGTAACAAAGTCAAGATTGCCACATTATTAGAATACCCTGTTTCCCCCCAAATAAGACATCCCCTGATAATAAGCCCAATCGGGCTTTTGAGAGCATGGCAATAAGGCCAAGCGCTTATTTCAGGGTTCAAAAAAATATAAGACAGGGTCTTATTTTCGGGGGGAAATGGTACCTGAAGACAAGAAGGATATATGTGTTCTTTCCTATTGTCTATTATAAAAATCTACTACTTTTCTTTGGGAAAGGGATTTTGCAACATGTTTCTTTCTCTGATGTGATACGTGGTTTATAAACATAACAATGGCTGTCATAATAGCAATTTGCATTGTGACATAAGGCTTTCTCAATTCATTCATGATTTGTAAAGGGAAGAATTGCTGTTTCTTATCACTAGCATTACATCAAGTAAGTATCATTGGGAAAAAATTCAACATGATTTTGTTTATCTGTTGTTGTATCATAAAATTCTTTTGTGTCATCTGTGGTAATTGATTTACTTGCAGTCAGTTTGAGAAAAGAAATAGTTTGCCCCATCCAGAACTTCACAAATAAAATATATATATTTTTCCCCTTTGGGGAAAATGAATATACTCATTCTGTTTCTTTTTGAGGTAAGCATCGCTATACAAAGTGCAGAGGAAAAATGAAATAGTGAACAGAACAAATCATAGATGAGAAAAGAAATAAGTACTGTTCAGTAACTGATTCTAGTTTACTAATTCATTCACCTATATATTCACATTATGTAATATTCTCCATGCCTTTCTATTGTTCCCCTTTGTCCTGCCCCATTTATTCATGTCTCCGGCATTGTGTCTGGATGGACAGAATTTTCTTCTCTTTTGCTGATCAGATTGCAGAGGGATCTGCTTCTAGTGGTACCCTTTCTCTGTTGCTTTGTAGTATTTTCAAAGAATATTCAAGTCAAATTCTAAAGACATTAGAGTTTTTTTGGTTTTTTGGTTTGTTTTTTTTAAAGACCTTACTCTCCTTTTACTTTGCTCAATTTGCTAGTTTTACATCCAGAGATTTCTAGGTAACGTATTCTGGGAGAGGGAAGCATGATATCCAGATGTAGACTAGTTAATGCCCATCAGAGTACGGTAGTGCATTGAAATAAAATTGTAGCATTGTGCATACACCAAACAGTATTTGATAGAGGTACTTTGGATTGCATGCAAGGACAGTATTTCTCTATTATTCATTAAAGTATGCAACCTTTTTTAGGTTCTGCACAATTCTTCCCAGCTTTAGAAACCTAATGAGAACATCTATATAGTAGTAAAATAACAGAGAAGCCTTGGTCTCATACATGGTCTGAAACAATGATTCCAATCATTTTTGAAGCATGCACAGCCCTGTCACCTAGTGTCATTGCCACAAGGCATTTTGGAATATAAAGATAGCAGCTGCCAGCCAGATGCCAATGAGAACCCCATTGCCATGGCTGCTATAATCACATATCACCTGTAATCATTTTCTGTACTTCACTTTCCTTCTCCCAAATGGATCAGAATTCCTGAACAACTGCATCTCATGTTAGTGGGACAGTGAAAACAGTGGAGGATTTGTCAGCTCCATCTGTATGCAAACATTTTAAACATTGTGGACACTGTAGTCGAAGAATAAAATCACTGATAAAATTAAAAATGTGGTCATCACTGGCCAGATTCTTCGAAAGACCTCTGACTTTTCTGAAAAGATGATTTTTTTAAAAATCCTTTCAATTGATCAGATGAATTTGTTCCTTTCATAAACATCCCATCCAGAACTGGGAGGGATTTTTCTTTTGGGATCTGAAGTTCTTACCAAAGAAGGTAACCGATGAACAAATGCTTGGCACGGAGACAATGGATGTGTGCTGAACAAGACAAAACCAACTCAGATAATGTATTTGATATAAAATCATTCTGCATGCAAAAGAGATAAACAATAATTTTCTCTCCTGTGTTTCTTTATAGGAGCTTGAGTTGCCCAAGGGTCAGTTTGCATAAGAATCTCTTTTTTAGTTTTATTTGCAACTGTGTTATGTCACTGACTCTTCTGGGAGGAATTGTCCAGCAGCACAGACTGGTTGCAACTCCTCCAGTAAGTAGGCATGATGTTGTTTTTACTTTTTCAAATTTATCAGCTTCAGCATCTAATTGGGAATACTGATTCAAAGCTAGGAGTGACAAGGGCCCTTTGAATCAGAGAATAGCCTGGGAAGTTTAATCTTCCTCTTCACATCTGCTTGTTTGCTAAATCAGGTGGAAATTATCTGTATTATAAAAGAGCCTGCATGAATTGTATGCTGTACTAAGCTGATACTCCTGTCTGCCTACAGGTATGTAAAGTGCTTCAAATCTCCCAGCTCTATTTTTTTCTTTGCAACTTCTTCTGGATGATGTCTGAAGGAATTTACCTCTACATTGTCACTGTGGTAAATGTATTTGCAAAAAGACAGGCCTTGCGGTGGTATTATTTTCTTGGCTGGGGTACGTTGTTTTCCTTTCACTTCCTCTTCTTTCTACATTGCAAGAACACACACTGTAGCAAGATACATTGTCATCATGGGAAAAGTAACATGCTGCATTGAATCTCTGAAGGTTTTCTAAGCCCCCTCCCTAAGCCTAACTCCTCCCATTATTGTGATTGATAGATTCTATAGAATTCTGCAGTCTCATTTTATTTGCTTGACGTGTTGAGTTAGATATACAGACTCTTATGCTATCTTTAACATGGACTATAAATTATAGTTATTTTTAATCAATTTTAGATGCTTACTTTAATTTAGTTTGATGCATACTAACCTTCAGAAATGCATTCTTTTCTCTAAGACATTATATATTGATTGATTAGGTCCCATCATTACCAAATTAGCTGACTCTTGGTAACCACATAGATCACATAATGCATAATTTTTCTCCTCAATATTTATTTAGTTTACTAATATTTGAAAGCAATATTGGAGCTAAATAAATAAAACTTTCTGTGTTGTTAAAAAAAAATCTATTTGTTGTTCACAGGAGTCCCTTTAATTCATGTCTCTACATATGCTGTAGCCAGAAGCCTGTATTTCAATGATTAGTAAGTCAAAACTAAAATCACCCAGCACATTTTACAGGAATTTATTTAAAGGAGTCACAGATAATCCTCGGGTTACAACGGCAATTGGGAATGAAAATCTTGTCACTAAGTGATAACGCTCAATATCACCTGACTCAGTGGTGGGTTCCAACCAGTGTTACCACCGGTTCTCTTCGTACATGTGCTTTGCGCATGATCGCTCCGCACAAGCGCGTTAGGTTTCTGCCCAGCTGAGATGCGGCAATCCACTCTGCCGCACCTATCAGCTGGGCTAAAAAACAAGAAATAAAGATAGGAACAAAGCGGGGGCAGGCGGGAGGGCCCAGCTCCCAGTCAAAGAGTACTAGTTCGGTGATGTCACATCGTCACCACTACCGGCTCAGCCGAACCGGGCCAAACCAGGAGCAACCCCCCACTGACCTGACTACGTCACTTAGTAACGTAGCTTTTTTTGGCTTTTTATTATGCCATGTTTGTCTTGAGTTTGTTGTTTCTTCCTTGGAAGTCCCCAGGAAGGTAGGGAAGATGACAATGACAATCACAGGACTACTAGATGCTGCAACCCTCATAATTGCGAAACTGGTTGCCAAGGACCTAAATCCTGATCACATGACCATGGAGACACTGCAAAACTTTGAGTCCTGCTCATAAATTCCTCTCATTCAGTGCTGTCATAACTTTGAATGTCGCTTAATGAGTGGTCCTAACCCAAAGACAACTAGCATTGTGGCAAGAATACTCTTATACTTTTTTTCCCAGCTGCTGGTACACAACAGGTACTCTTTTATCGTATACCATCGACGGGCCTATCTACACTGTTCTCTTGGTAAGAACATATCACAATGATTTCCATATCAAATATATTTTTCTTACTTTAATGCCAAATGTTTATCTATGGTGGTGGTGCGCAGTATTGCAGGCTAACTCTGCCAACTGAAAGGAGTTTAATCCTGATGGGCTCCAGGCTGACTCAGCCTTCCATCCTTCCGAGGTCAGTAAAATGAGGACCCAGATTGTTGGGGGCAATATGCTCAGTAAACCACTTAAGAGAGGGTTGTAAAGCACTATGAAGCAGTATACAAGTTTAAGTGCTATTGTTAGGAATAAGGAGGAGGCTGACTCATTGACTCTGAGGTGAGTTGGGCTGAGAGAGAGTGACAGGCCCAAAGACACCCAGCTGACTTTGATGCCTAAGCTGGGACTTGAACTCATGGTCCTAGTTTTTATCCTGGTATATTTATCACTGGCTATCATGAAGTATCAAGAATAAATATTTGTTTATTACATCTAAGCAATGATTTAGGACTAAAAAAAAGGGGGTCAGTAAATTGTTTTATTATTAGTTTCTTTACTCGTATAAAAATACATTCAAGCCACCATTTGAAGTGGCACTAAAATGGAAGCCCTGAGGGTTATTCTTTATTAAGAAGGAAGTAGAAAGAAAACTAGTTGTGATTAGTGAAATATAAGCATGATACTGCAAATTAAATAAGAAGCTGGATATCCTAAGTAAATTAGTTTAAATCCTATGTAAAAGAACTGAAGATTGCTTTATTGTTCTTCAGACATGAGGTTTTGATTATAGGTTTTGTGAATTATTGGTTGGTTTTGTGCAACACCCAATTTTTTGATATTACTTATTAGATTATTAAATATTATTTTGATGGCACTCTCTTATTTTCATCTCTTTCTGAATATTTTCTATAGTCAAAATCACTTTTCTGAAGTGATTGCCCCACTTGCAGTACTGCAGGAGTTTCAATCCATATTTTAAGTACTACAACACCAAGGATTCCCTTCATATTTAGATGGCATTCTTTTAGAGGATAATTAGCCCTACCAGCTATCGCTTTGGAGTCATATTCTAATCATCTCTTTTTTTCTTAGAGATATTTGGTTAAATTATTGAATTAGGACCAGGAAAGCTGAGGCTCAAGCCCATTATCAGAGAAGGAAGCTCATTGGCTGCTTTTTGGGCCAATTGCAGTCTTTTCATCCAATTTATCTCCTGACATTGTGAGGGGGAAAAAATGAAAGGAAAGAACATGATGAACATTTCTTTGCAGTCCTGAAATCACTCCCTCCCCCATCTCTTTTGCAGGGTTTGTTGTTGTCGATACTATTGTGCTTTTCTAATAAACAGGTAAAGTATTTTTCTTTTCTTTTGATTTCTTTTCTAACTGATTTATGTTTGAATCTAGAAAATGATTAAGAACAGTTAAGTTAATGCTTAAATGCTGTCATATATGTCATATAGAGAAATAGAAGAGGAATAGTGTCAATCTTTTCAAGTCATATTAAACTAGAGGGTTCAGCTTGTGATATGAGACACCTGATAATCTATACTGGCTGAAATGGTGCAGAAGTCAGTATTCTAAAGATGATGATAGCAATAGCACTTAGATTTATATACCACTTCACAGTGCTTTACAGCACTCTCTAAGCAGTTTACAGAGTCAGCATATTGCCCCCAACAATCTGGATCCTCATTTTACTGACCTCAGAAGGATGGAAAGCTGAGTCAATCTTGAGCCTGGTAAGAATTGATCTTCTGGAGTGAGCAGTGAATTAGCCTGCAGTACTGCTTTCTAACCACTGTGCCACAATGGCTCTAGAACAGGGGTGTCAACTTGCTGTGTCACATTGCTGCCACATGACATTTCATGACATTTTTCCCCTTCGCGAAGCTGGGGTAGGCGTTGCCTGTACGAGATGCATCTGGCCCGCCAGTTTGACACCTCTGCTCTAGAATAATGTATGGCCTATAGGTGGACAGTTTATGCCAAGAACAATTAAAGCTATGAGAAAATGTTTCTTTTGTCTTTTGTCACTGTTTTTTTCTTCTTCAAAATATGATACGATCATAAAAGTATTTGGTTCTGTGGAGCCAGTCTGGCTGATAGCAACTAATGAAAAAACAAAAAGTTTTGTTATAAGAAGTCTGTCTTCACTTTCTGTCTATATTATTCTCATAAGAAATCTATCCTATATAACATCTTTTTTTCACCCCCCTTCTTTTTTCTGGAAAGGTTCAATCTGTTTTCAGAAGGCTATGGAATCGATTCCAAGCATCACTTCCAAGTCAGAGTTCGACTTAATACAGACAACTTTAAACATTTGAATGGAGCCACAACAGATAATGTTGCTTTTTTTAAAAAACTTTTTGGCTAATTGCAATTATGCTCTGTGCAAGTAATGTACATCCAGGGGTGAAATCCAGAAGGTTCTAACAGATTCTGGAGAACCAGTAGCGGGAATTTTGAGTAGTTCGGAGAACCAGCAAATACCACCTCTGGCTGGCTCCCGGGAATTTTTTTTTTTTTTTTGCTTTTAATTCATATGCCGCCCTTCTCCGGAGACTCAGGGTGGCTTACAATGCGTTAAGCAATGGGGATGGGGAATGGGGATTTTTCAGTATCCTTCCCCTGGAGTGGGGTGGGAATGGAGATTTTGCAGTATCCTTCCCCTGCCATGCCCATCAAGCCATGCCCACAGAACCTGTAGGGGAAAAAATTGGATTTCACCCCTGCGTACACCGAATATTTTTTTAAAATCATTCATTACAATATTATATTGTAATAAGAAACAGAGTTAAGGCTATAATAGTGTAAACATTGTAAAAACAGAATGCAAAATGTATCAAACTGTTTTGGTGTAGCGGTTAAGGTGCTGGTCTAGAAACCAGGAGACTCTTGAGTTCCAATCCCACCTTAAAATGAAATTTGACAGAGTGACTTTGAACCAGTCCCTCAATTCCCTCCTCCCTCTCTCTCTCTCTCCAACTCACATCACCAGGTTGCTGTGGAGAAAAAGAGAAGGAGGAGGAAACATGTATGTTTGCCAGTTTGACTTACTTCAAAAGTAATAAAGGCAGATAAAAATCAAATAAATAAATAAATGCAGAAAGTTAAGTTAGTGAGAACCTCTTAGTTCCTTACTATTAAAATATGATTATGTGAACAATAGAAAAACAAAATCTACCCTGATGGCATATGACAATATTTAAAAGGAATACGATTGAAGAGTCTACTGATTGTCTCCCTACAACCCACCCCTGTCATAAATTTATGATCTGTGATTTGTCCAAAATATATACAATTAAAGAGACTATTTCTTTCCTGTGGCCCACTAAAAGTTGCTTAGGACTTTATTTTAAACATTAAAGTTCACATGCCATCTGCCAAGGATATCTATCCTAATCCCAAAAACAAACATTAAAGAACTCTTGATTTATTTTAGAGTTGCTCCTTGATTAGCAGCAATAAAGGATATCTTCTGACAAGCGAGAGTCACAGCCAAACACAGTCAGAGCAGAAGTTGGGACTTTGGACTCAAGGCAATTCATCACCATAATTGTTAAATCCTTCAAAATATCTCTGCATGAGTGCATTTCATAAATCCTTTTGACTTCAACCTCCCCCCTTCAGAACTCACAAGATGGTGGTAATTGATTTGTTCTCCTCAGAGGCAGACTGGAAGCCAGTGAAAATGCTTAAGCTGCAAGACAATATTTCCTCTAGCAAATAAAGCTTCCATTTTGGGGATCAATTTAAATATTCAAGGCAATGAAAAATTATTAGTATAACTTCAGTATCACAAATGCTATATAAATCAGCTGCTCAGCTTCGGTTCTATGTTCTTATTGTTTAATTATTTTTATTATGCTATCTTTGTGAGAAGTCTGCCTTTATGTTTTTCATTTGCTGCCTTGATTTTAGGGTGAAGGATAGAATTTTTAAAAAACCACCACTGGTTTTGTTTTTCCCTTCCTCCCCAAGCTAATTTAAAGCAGACAATTTCATAGAGAAATCCTGTAAATATACAGCTTACTTACAATTCTCCAACATAATTTGCTAGCTATGCTCATGGAATTCTTCCTTTGTTTCTGCCTGATTTTTAAATTGTGATACAGCTATTGCATCCTAAATAGAATTCCTATGTCACATTAAATATGGTCTGTCTCAGGGCAGGTACCAAAGCATTTCTCTATCACTTTTTATTCCTTATATTCTTTTGCTAATAAACTTAAATCTTGGATTAATTACTGTGATAGATTCAGATCCTGGGGAATTCTGAACTAATTTTCCTCACTCCAGTTTATTACTTTGATCCCCCTAACCAAAATACAATAATCATGTATGCTGAACATCTGGTGGAGCTTGGTAAGTAGAAAATTGGAAGCTGAGAGAGTTATAGTTCTCCAACAATTTTCCTTCTCCTCACACTGAAGAGATCTTTTCTTCAAAAACAATAGGTGGCTTGATCCTTGAGTAGTTCATCACATGTACAAATCATAAAAGTAGCATGGAAAGTAACCCAGTGCTGAAATCCAATTTTTTTTACTATTAGTTCTGTGGGCGTGGCTTGGTGGGCATGGCTTGGCTTGGCTTGGAGGGCATGGCTTGGTGGGTGTGGCAGGGGAAGGATACTGCAAAATTCCCATTCCCTCCCCACTCCTGGGGGAAGGATATTGCAAACTCTCCATTCCCACCCCACTGTGGGGCCAGCCAGAGGCGGTATTCGCCGGTTCTCTGAACTACTCAAAATTTCTGCTACTGGTTCTCTGAACTACTTAAAATTTCCACTACCGGTTCTCCAGAACCTGTTAGAACCTGCTGGATTTCACCCCTGAAGTAACCCATGTAGCTAACTATGGTATAAACTCTGTTAATTCATACACACAACCAGAAACACAGACAGAGAGATTAGAATTTTTAGAGTAGAATGAGCTGGAAGGGACTTTGGAGGTCTTCTAGTCCAGCTCAAGCAGGAGAATATATACTATTTCAGATAAGTGACTGTCTAGTCTCTTCTTTAAAAACATCAGTGATGGAGCGCCCATGATTTCTGAAGGTAAGCTGTTCCACTGGTTAATTATCCTCACTGTTAGAAAGTTTCTCCTTAATTCCAGGTTGCTTCTCTCTTTGCTTAATTTCCAACCATTGTTTCTTGTCCTGCCCTCTGGTGCTTTGGAGAATAATTTGACCCCCTATTCTTTGTGGTAGCCCCTCAAATACTGGAATACTGCTATCATGTCACCCTTAATTCTTCTTTTTTTAAGACTAGCCAGACCCAAATCCTGCAGTCGTTCTTCATATATTTTAGTCTCCAGACCTTTGATCATCTTAGCTGCTCTTCTTTGAACTTTTTCCAAAGTCTCAACATCCTTTTTGTAGTATGGTGACCAAAATTGGTTGCAGTATTCCAGATATGCTCTTACTAGGGTTTTATAAAGCAGTACTAATACTTCACGTGATCTTGATTAAAATGTGCCATCACTGGAATAAGACTTATTTTTTTAGAAGTTTAGTTTGCACCTGACAGATTTATGGCTCATGCTTCATATATAAGGGGAATATCTATTTTAATGTTATTTAGAAATATTTCTAAATAATGTTATTTAGGAATATTTAGCTAAAACATATTGTAAGTACATCCAAGAGTTTATACTGTAGAGATGGTAATAAATAGAAAAGCAATTTTGTTGGGGAAAATGTATTCTTCCAAATAATTTCTGTCTCTAGAATTTTGAAAATAAACACAGAAATATACTGATATTTAAAAAGCTGAG